AGGTGTCCTCGGAGATTGGCACGTCTATTCTTTTCCAATTCGTTGTGGGCTGCCCTGAAAATATTTTTAAATATAAAATATGGAGTATTTTAGGCTAATTTTGAGTATTTTTAGATTTTTCAAATTTAAATTTTTTTAAATGACATTTGGTCCCATTTATTAAAAATTATATTTTTTTCCATTATAGACACAATTTTTAAATTTTTAATTAAATAATGACATTAAAATGAAGATGTTTTAAGCTTGTAGAGAAAAGATGACAAATGATCCCACAAATATTTAATTACAAAAAATGTCCAGTGAGACATTTGATCCCATCAAAAATTTAAAACAAATATTCTCTCCTCTTTTAAATGTACTTTAAAAAATTTAGTAAATCAAAAACAAAAAAATCACATGAAAAAGTAGCAAAGTCCATACATTTATTTCTCTCAATGTCCAACTTGACTAACCCCAACAAACACAAATACCCACAAAATTCCCCTTCAATTTCCTGTTTTGTTCTTTTATTTATTCATTCTTTTATAAACACACACAAGTAGGGTAAAAGAAAGAAAAAGAAAAATTTTTTCAGAAGAAAAATTTTCTCTAATTCCTCGTTAACCACCATAATACTGCAAATCTTGTATATTCCTCTTAATCCCACAATATCTTTGAAATCCCAGATATCTCCCACATCCATTGATATCATTTTAATCCAGCTAAATCTGCCGATTTCATCATTAAGCTCCAAATTTCGATATCTCTTATAAACCCCCAGACGATGAAATGTAAAATTTTGGCCACGGTAGTCTGGGTATGACTAGGAATTACGAATTTGTTCACTGACGGATTGTCCACTGACGGATTGTCCGACCACTGACGGATTGTCCACTGACGGATATTCCACTGCCGGATTGTCCACTGACGGATTGTCCGGTCACGCCGTCATTGTTCCAGCCACCCCAGCACTATTTACAGAAGAATAAGGATAGAGTAAAGGAAGTGCTGGAAGTAAACCATTAAGTGAAAGATATTCCTCCATATTAACTTTTATATTATTCGTTTCTTGTTTAGAATTGTTTTTCTCATCTTCTTCAACCTTCTTTTCTTTAATTAAACAATTTTGAGAAATTTCATATTGTGTAAAATCGACATTAATTTCCTCTCCCACAACAACCTCTTCTTCTCTTACTTCAGGGATTTGAACTATTTTTATTATTTTTCGACAAGTTTCGTTTTGAAGAGGTGTTAAAGACGCGGTTGCTTCTTTAAAACTTTTATCGTTGTATTGTGGAAGCTCCACTCCTTCCCCTTTGTTTTGCTGTAAAAGTTGTTGAAGACGTGAATGTTCAGCTAGAAGAGCTTCTCGTTTTTTGAGAAGGGCAGACTTTTGTTCGTCCACAAACTGAAAATGAGGGAAAAATTAGTTAAAAATTAATTTCAAATTTTTTAAAATTTCGTTTCGACCTTCGCTTCAAACTTGGTGACATTTGGTCCTACGATATTTGACCCCACGACATTTGTCCTCATACCAAAAAAAGACTATTAGAGTAACTCAAGACAAAATGGGATAAGAAGGGATGTCCTATGTCTCCTATATACTCCTCCATACTATAGTCGCTACTAACGAGAGTTGACTATATAGAGGTATGTAATACCAAAATCTCGCTAAAAGCGACTAGTCTTCTTAAAAAGGGCATTAATTAGACTTAGTCTAGACTCCTTAATCCTCCTTGTATTTACACAATTTAATTCTCCCCCACATTACTAATCCAAAAAAAGATGATTAAAAGCTGAGAAAGACAAAAACAAATTTTAACTACATTTTATTTTGATGACTCAACCGTGCTAAATTTTATTAATTCTCTTGCAAAAAAGGAACAAAGTCCACACACTTAGCTTTTCATCATATTATAAAGTACATTTTACTGCCAGCTACTTAATATTAGTTTTTTTGTTTGTCTTTTTTAAATTAAATCTCTCTCACACACCTGCTACTAGGAAGAAAAATTTTTTATGTACGTACTTTAATCCGTATGTACTTTTAAATTTAGTTAAAATAAAAAGGGTTACGGTTGTCTAAAATGAAACGTGACTCAATGTCGCTTAAGCTAAGCATAGTCAGACCTCCTAATAGTCTAGGCAGCTCTGTAATGGGTGCTCAAGCTGTCCAAGTAAATACCCTCTATTTAAGGCACACTCTATAAGACACCCCCCAATACTCTATATCTATATAGTCTAGCCTTATAGAGGTCTAAGCAAGACACCTCTATTTTTACCTCGTTATTTCTTTCTAAGCTTTCTTTACCCCCAAAGGGTATCCTATAAAAAAGGTCCCTTCTATATTAGCTCCTCTTCTCTTCCAATCCAATTTACACACTTAAAAGACATTCAAAAAAGCTTCCCATTGATCTCCTTTCTAAATTTTCGATCTTCTGGGCCAACAAAAATTTCAATCAAAGAATAAAACAGCCCAAAACATGTGACTGGCTCTTTCCTTTTTTTATCAAACACAAATTTATTTCTTAACGTTTTGCGTAAAATGTTTGATCAAAAAAGAGAGCAACTGCTCTGAGGAAAGAAAAAATATTTTTGTCTTTTTCTTAACTCGAGACTAGCAAAAAAAAGAATTTTTGGTTGCATATTCACGTGTATTTCAACAGAATCATTAAAACATTTTTGTATAGGCAAAAGATTAGTAAAACATTGGAATAGTCATATGAAGAAAATAGAATGATTAGAAGAAGAGGAAAAGAAAATAAAACTTGGAAAGAAAAAAGATGTTTTGTTCTGTCAAGTTTGCAGACTTGTCGAGACATTTTGCCAATAACACATTTCGCCAACAAGGCTAAAAAGACACATTTTGTCAACAAGGTTGTTGACAAAATGTGATGTTTTCGCTTGATTGGCAAAATGTCAAGTTGGCAAAATATGAGGGAGTACAAGTTTGCAACAACAAAACTTTCTTTTAAAGACAGAACAAACATAGACAAGAATATAAAGAAATAGAATGTTGAAGAAACAGAAAAAGAAAACAGAGAAAGAAAAGTTTTGTTGAGCGTTCCGCCAATAGGTTTGCGTCAAACACTATAAAAGGAGAGAATACCACGAGTTTTATTAATTTGTTTAAAAAAACTTGTTTTAAAGTTGTGTGTATGTTTAACACGCAATTTAATACTAAAAAACTAGTTGAGGAAACAACTAAAAATATTTAATATAATCATTTCCCCCTAAAAATTTTTTTCCTCTCACGAGGTAAAGAAAAATGTTTATTAGTTTTATTGATAGAGAGAAAAGAGAACACGTTGATATCAATTTTGGTGTGTAAGATTGGGAAAGTCGTCGAACAAAAAAATTTTTTTCTTTTTTGGTGATTGGACATCCTAACAAATATTAAGAAAAATGGTTGCGCGCGTGACTCTTTTGTTTACCCTTACTTAAAAAAATATATATTGAGTGAGGGAGAGGTTTTCGAGTAACCGTGACTCATTAAAGGCACTAGAAAAAATACTTGGATTTACTTTAAGAAGCGAAGGAAGACACGAAAAAATCATCAAAAAAATAAAAAATTGTCAAGAAAAATCCTTTCTACCCACCTTAATGTAGTTCCTAGCCCTCGTTAACAAAGACAATGTTGTGTCTCTATGAGTATCACTCTCGGGTGGCAAAACAGATTTAAGAGCCTCGAGGTGTCCTCGGAGATTGGCACGTCTATTCTTTTCCAATTCGTTGTGGGCTGCCCTGAAAATATTTTTAAATATAAAATATGGAGTATTTTAGGCTAATTTTGAGTATTTTTAGATTTTTCAAATTTAAATTTTTTTAAATGACATTTGGTCCCATTTATTAAAAATTATATTTTTTTCCATTATAGACACAATTTTTAAATTTTTAATTAAATAATGACATTAAAATGAAGATGTTTTAAGCTTGTAGAGAAAAGATGACAAATGATCCCACAAATATTTAATTACAAAAAATGTCCAGTGAGACATTTGATCCCATCAAAAATTTAAAACAAATATTCTCTCCTCTTTTAAATGTACTTTAAAAAATTTAGTAAATCAAAAACAAAAAAATCACATGAAAAAGTAGCAAAGTCCATACATTTATTTCTCTCAATGTCCAACTTGACTAACCCCAACAAACACAAATACCCACAAAATTCCCCTTCAATTTCCTGTTTTGTTCTTTTATTTATTCATTCTTTTATAAACACACACAAGTAGGGTAAAAGAAAGAAAAAGAAAAATTTTTTCAGAAGAAAAATTTTCTCTAATTCCTCGTTAACCACCATAATACTGCAAATCTTGTATATTCCTCTTAATCCCACAATATCTTTGAAATCCCAGATATCTCCCACATCCATTGATATCATTTTAATCCAGCTAAATCTGCCGATTTCATCATTAAGCTCCAAATTTCGATATCTCTTATAAACCCCCAGACGATGAAATGTAAAATTTTGGCCACGGTAGTCTGGGTATGACTAGGAATTACGAATTTGTTCACTGACGGATTGTCCACTGACGGATTGTCCGACCACTGACGGATTGTCCACTGACGGATATTCCACTGCCGGATTGTCCACTGACGGATTGTCCGGTCACGCCGTCATTGTTCCAGCCACCCCAGCACTATTTACAGAAGAATAAGGATAGAGTAAAGGAAGTGCTGGAAGTAAACCATTAAGTGAAAGATATTCCTCCATATTAACTTTTATATTATTCGTTTCTTGTTTAGAATTGTTTTTCTCATCTTCTTCAACCTTCTTTTCTTTAATTAAACAATTTTGAGAAATTTCATATTGTGTAAAATCGACATTAATTTCCTCTCCCACAACAACCTCTTCTTCTCTTACTTCAGGGATTTGAACTATTTTTATTATTTTTCGACAAGTTTCGTTTTGAAGAGGTGTTAAAGACGCGGTTGCTTCTTTAAAACTTTTATCGTTGTATTGTGGAAGCTCCACTCCTTCCCCTTTGTTTTGCTGTAAAAGTTGTTGAAGACGTGAATGTTCAGCTAGAAGAGCTTCTCGTTTTTTGAGAAGGGCAGACTTTTGTTCGTCCACAAACTGAAAATGAGGGAAAAATTAGTTAAAAATTAATTTCAAATTTTTTAAAATTTCGTTTCGACCTTCGCTTCAAACTTGGTGACATTTGGTCCTACGATATTTGACCCCACGACATTTGTCCTCATACCAAAAAAAGACTATTAGAGTAACTCAAGACAAAATGGGATAAGAAGGGATGTCCTATGTCTCCTATATACTCCTCCATACTATAGTCGCTACTAACGAGAGTTGACTATATAGAGGTATGTAATACCAAAATCTCGCTAAAAGCGACTAGTCTTCTTAAAAAGGGCATTAATTAGACTTAGTCTAGACTCCTTAATCCTCCTTGTATTTACACAATTTAATTCTCCCCCACATTACTAATCCAAAAAAAGATGATTAAAAGCTGAGAAAGACAAAAACAAATTTTAACTACATTTTATTTTGATGACTCAACCGTGCTAAATTTTATTAATTCTCTTGCAAAAAAGGAACAAAGTCCACACACTTAGCTTTTCATCATATTATAAAGTACATTTTACTGCCAGCTACTTAATATTAGTTTTTTTGTTTGTCTTTTTTAAATTAAATCTCTCTCACACACCTGCTACTAGGAAGAAAAATTTTTTATGTACGTACTTTAATCCGTATGTACTTTTAAATTTAGTTAAAATAAAAAGGGTTACGGTTGTCTAAAATGAAACGTGACTCAATGTCGCTTAAGCTAAGCATAGTCAGACCTCCTAATAGTCTAGGCAGCTCTGTAATGGGTGCTCAAGCTGTCCAAGTAAATACCCTCTATTTAAGGCACACTCTATAAGACACCCCCCAATACTCTATATCTATATAGTCTAGCCTTATAGAGGTCTAAGCAAGACACCTCTATTTTTACCTCGTTATTTCTTTCTAAGCTTTCTTTACCCCCAAAGGGTATCCTATAAAAAAGGTCCCTTCTATATTAGCTCCTCTTCTCTTCCAATCCAATTTACACACTTAAAAGACATTCAAAAAAGCTTCCCATTGATCTCCTTTCTAAATTTTCGATCTTCTGGGCCAACAAAAATTTCAATCAAAGAATAAAACAGCCCAAAACATGTGACTGGCTCTTTCCTTTTTTTATCAAACACAAATTTATTTCTTAACGTTTTGCGTAAAATGTTTGATCAAAAAAGAGAGCAACTGCTCTGAGGAAAGAAAAAATATTTTTGTCTTTTTCTTAACTCGAGACTAGCAAAAAAAAGAATTTTTGGTTGCATATTCACGTGTATTTCAACAGAATCATTAAAACATTTTTGTATAGGCAAAAGATTAGTAAAACATTGGAATAGTCATATGAAGAAAATAGAATGATTAGAAGAAGAGGAAAAGAAAATAAAACTTGGAAAGAAAAAAGATGTTTTGTTCTGTCAAGTTTGCAGACTTGTCGAGACATTTTGCCAATAACACATTTCGCCAACAAGGCTAAAAAGACACATTTTGTCAACAAGGTTGTTGACAAAATGTGATGTTTTCGCTTGATTGGCAAAATGTCAAGTTGGCAAAATATGAGGGAGTACAAGTTTGCAACAACAAAACTTTCTTTTAAAGACAGAACAAACATAGACAAGAATATAAAGAAATAGAATGTTGAAGAAACAGAAAAAGAAAACAGAGAAAGAAAAGTTTTGTTGAGCGTTCCGCCAATAGGTTTGCGTCAAACACTATAAAAGGAGAGAATACCACGAGTTTTATTAATTTGTTTAAAAAAACTTGTTTTAAAGTTGTGTGTATGTTTAACACGCAATTTAATACTAAAAAACTAGTTGAGGAAACAACTAAAAATATTTAATATAATCATTTCCCCCTAAAAATTTTTTTCCTCTCACGAGGTAAAGAAAAATGTTTATTAGTTTTATTGATAGAGAGAAAAGAGAACACGTTGATATCAATTTTGGTGTGTAAGATTGGGAAAGTCGTCGAACAAAAAAATTTTTTTCTTTTTTGGTGATTGGACATCCTAACAAATATTAAGAAAAATGGTTGCGCGCGTGACTCTTTTGTTTACCCTTACTTAAAAAAATATATATTGAGTGAGGGAGAGGTTTTCGAGTAACCGTGACTCATTAAAGGCACTAGAAAAAATACTTGGATTTACTTTAAGAAGCGAAGGAAGACACGAAAAAATCATCAAAAAAATAAAAAATTGTCAAGAAAAATCCTTTCTACCCACCTTAATGTAGTTCCTAGCCCTCGTTAACAAAGACAATGTTGTGTCTCTATGAGTATCACTCTCGGGTGGCAAAACAGATTTAAGAGCCTCGAGGTGTCCTCGGAGATTGGCACGTCTATTCTTTTCCAATTCGTTGTGGGCTGCCCTGAAAATATTTTTAAATATAAAATATGGAGTATTTTAGGCTAATTTTGAGTATTTTTAGATTTTTCAAATTTAAATTTTTTTAAATGACATTTGGTCCCATTTATTAAAAATTATATTTTTTTCCATTATAGACACAATTTTTAAATTTTTAATTAAATAATGACATTAAAATGAAGATGTTTTAAGCTTGTAGAGAAAAGATGACAAATGATCCCACAAATATTTAATTACAAAAAATGTCCAGTGAGACATTTGATCCCATCAAAAATTTAAAACAAATATTCTCTCCTCTTTTAAATGTACTTTAAAAAATTTAGTAAATCAAAAACAAAAAAATCACATGAAAAAGTAGCAAAGTCCATACATTTATTTCTCTCAATGTCCAACTTGACTAACCCCAACAAACACAAATACCCACAAAATTCCCCTTCAATTTCCTGTTTTGTTCTTTTATTTATTCATTCTTTTATAAACACACACAAGTAGGGTAAAAGAAAGAAAAAGAAAAATTTTTTCAGAAGAAAAATTTTTTTCAAGTCACACGCCATCATCAACAACCAAGCAAGCAACAACAGCCCCCCCCCTCCCTCCCCCCTTCAATTCCTGCCAGCTCACATATCATCGTTTATATTTTAGTTGTCGTCGCCACCTTTAAGAGGCATTCCTTCCCAAAAAAAATTTTTTTGTAGAAAAAAAAGAGAGGAGCGCCAGTCACACGGGACAACAACCAAAAAAAAAGTGGGCGAATATGTGTGTGTTGTTACAACGATTGAAGGGTCCGCGACGGGTAGAGCAACGAAATAGGGGGAAGGGGGAAGTTTCGGGGAAGGGGGTACACCGCCTGATCATATACTTAGCGCTGCGCGTTAAATAAAGGTTGGGGGGCATCCCCACTATATTCACATGCACTGTGTGACACCCGAAGTTTGTGTACTATGGACCCAAGAGAGAAAATGGCACGACTATTTTACTTTTTTCCTTTGTGACCAAGTCTCTTTCTCGCATTTTTTGTTTCTCTGTTCTGACTTAAAACACATGTGTACTAGAAGAATATTTACTAGTAAATATTTTCGTGCACAAATACCCAAGTGATCAAACAAGAAACTTGAGGATTTGACTTGACTTGAAGACAACAGGAAGAACAAGAGCAAATACTTTCCCCGAGTTGTTGGAGATGCTATTTGAGCCTTGACTTCGTTTAATTGACTTATTTCGATCAAGACCCCCCCCCCCCCTTAACTAACACAAAATTAGATTCAAAACCAGACAACCTCACAAATTTCTGTCAAGACACCCACCAAGAAAAACACACAAAAACCAAAGTCAAAAAGATCAACAACATTGTAACTAGAGTTGCCAAAATAGACCGACTCGGTCCGAAAGGTTGAGTCGGACCTAAGATATTTGGCCTGAGAATGACTCGTACTGGCCCGAATCGATAAAAACAAGCCCGAGAAAATGCCTCGCCCGTCGGCCCGACTCGAAAACGGCAACCCTAACCGCAACTTGCTACTAAATATGAATCAGAACACAAATATAATTCAGAAAAGTCACAAAAGCAACCAGATTTAAATTTAAACAAAAATGAGTCCCAATCCCACCATCAAAAAAATCTAAAAAAAACAACTAAAAAATTATCCAATCCCTTTGTACATTTTTTCTTTTTTTTCCGAGTTATTTCACTACAAATGTCGTGCAATAAAAGTACACATTTATTAACAAATACTAGAGAAAAGGCTAAAATGTTGAGAGAAGGAAAGCTAACAGAAAAAATATTACTTCCCCATTTTAAAAACAACACACCAACATTCCAACAAGGAGAGAGAGAAGTGGAAAAGAAGAGAGAGTGTCTAACATATATTCTCTCTCTCCACTGTCATTTAACACACACAAACACACAAATTCACGTGCATAGACAAGTTGTCCACGTGCTCAGCACACGTGTGCAGGAAACAAATGTGTGTGTATATATTTTATTTATATATTTTTGTCGTCGTCAGCCGCCTAGGGATGAAAGTCCTTCTTGCTAAAGAGAAGTGCCTCCTTTCCCCCCTCTGACTAAACCGCGTGCCCTTGTGGACGATTTTCTTCTAAATGTTGAGTGGGGAAAAACAAAAATAGAGGAGAATTGAAGTAAAAAAATGTTCGTAAAATGCCTAAAAATAATTGAAGAAAAAAGAAAATGTTGGGAAAATGGAAAGGATTAAAAGGGTAAAAAGATAATTAAGGGAAATGCGCATGTTTAGCGGTAAAACTAAAATTAGTAGAGGGAACAAGAAGACATGACGTGTCTTTTGACTTGACATTATACTTAGAAGGGTTTGGCGTTTTGAAAAAAAAGTTTTTGGCGTTATGAAAATTTTTTGGCGTTTTTAAATTTTTTTGGCGTTTTGTAATTTTCGACATTTTGAAATAATTTTTTTGCCAAGATTTTAAAAAATCCCACCTGCTTTGTCTACTGCCGCTAGCCCTTCGCCCGCTCCCCACACCATGTGAAGCCGACGGGGACAAGTTGTCGTCTAGACGTGTTGACAAACGCCGCGCATCTGTCGTTGTTGCCATAGAAGAACCCGAAGCGACAGATGAGGCAGCTGAAGAAGTGGAAATAGATTGGCGTTGTTGTGACTCTAAAAGAGTTAAATTTTGTTGTGTTTGTTGTTGATAATATTGAGGGGAGTGGAGACAAGCAAGAACAGCCAAATCAGGTGATGGAGAAGCGGAGAGGGGGGAAGAACGTTGACTTGAACCGGTAGAGCTTGGGCCACAATTTGGGTCGCCAACAAAAGTTCTCAATTTTGGAGCTAAAATTCGGGCCTCGTATTTTTCTAAAAAATTTTTAAAAATTTCAAAAAAATTTTTTTCGAGTACCTCCAAAATTGGCAGAAAAGCCACCAATTTCACTAAATTGGGAGGGCATTTTTTCAATAATAGCACGTTGTTCAATAAGCTTGGCAGCCCTAAGTAATTGTTCTATACTTAAATGCTGACTGACAGCTTGTTGGTGTTGTTGGGGAGTAAATGAGTTGAGCATTGTAGTTTTGGAATAATAAAGAAATATTTTTGGTCTGAAAAGATAAAATGAATTGAGGAGAAAGTGAGAGAAAAATACAAATAAAGTTGATTATTTTTACAAAATGTAAAAATAAAATTTACAAATTGTAAAATAAGTTTTAAAAATAATAATAAGTTTTACAAAAGGAATAAGTTTTAAGAATAGGCGGTAGAAATAAGTTTTACAAATTGTAAAACTTGTTAGTACAACTTATTACAAATTGTAAAACTTTTTTTACAATTTGTAAAATAAGTTTTACTTGACTAAAATAAATTACAAATTGTAAAAAGTTTTAAAAATAATTTTTACAAAATGTAATAAGTTTTACAAATATGTTTTACAAATTGTAAAATGCTCGAAAAATTTCGCAAGGGTTTTGTAAATGCTCAAAACACACAAAATAAAATATACATCTGACACAAAGGATGCAACAAAAATGATTGAAAAGACCGAAAAATTATCCAGTTAAAATAACCATCTCTTCTTTTGTTGGCTGCTGCAGCATTTTTATACTTTTACCACTACAAATAAATAAATACACACACAAAACTGCATTCTTTCCTTCCTCTTTCTCACCCAATTCCGTGTCTCCCCCCAAAAAACTATATAATAATAAGAGAGAGCCCGCCCTCTTTTCGCGTTAACACAAAAGTCAACAGAAAAAAATTTTTTTTAATGTGTTTGGACCGCCTACTCACAAGAAAAGTAACGTGTGACACACTCTTTGGAGCGAACCCTTGAGGTGTGGAATAGAATTGGTGGAGGTCAGGGAAGTGAAACCCTCCTTTTTTTACTATTTCTTTGATTATTGTTAAGGATTTTTTGTTAAATTATCTAATCAGACGTGGAAAAATAAGAAAAAATAATGGGGTAATTCAGAAATTGTAAGTTTGTAATGCTGACGAAATTTTGGGGTAGGTGATCTTTTGGGTTAATTAATAATAGGGGAAAATAGTGATAATGTTCTAAATTACAATTAAAAATAAACTTGAATTGTAAAATAAACTTAATTTACAAATTAAAAACAAACTTGAATTACAAAAGAAATAACAACTTAAATAAATAAAAAAGTAATTTCAAGTTTAATTTACAATTCAAATTTACTTTTTACAATTCAAGTTTATTTTAAAAAATAAACTTTGAATTGTAAAATAAACTTTAATTGTAAAAAAATAAACTTAGAATGCAAATATGAACTTGACTCATAAAAATAAACTTGATTTATGTAAATGAAAATATAAATAAACTTAAATTACAAAACACAAAAATAAACTTTAAACTTTACATCACTCTTACAATCCAAAAATGTTCACACGCTTAAACTTGCATAATTCTCTAGCCCTTTAAGGCATTTTACTTGGATTTTTAAGATTTGTTTTTATTTTAGGAACATGCTTAAAAGCTTTATTTTTCGTTCAAAGTACAGAACACATTATAAACCACAAAAACCCTCTAAAAATCTGCAGGCATTTTCGGTCAAAGTCCAAAAACGGCAGCAGAATGGCATTTGCTATTTTTTCTATTTTTTTGCACCCATTAGAAGGATAGAAAAAAGGGGAATATTATATTTAGAGATATTTTCTGAGGAGAAAAAGAAGATAAAAAATAGGTAAAAAGCGCCAACTGAAATTCACGTGTTTTACAAAAATAGGAAAAAAAATAAATGTTGGCCTATACAAGAAGAAAATAGGCAACTTTGTTATTTTTCATGAAAAAAAAAGTTCCAAGTTGTAAAATAAAATTGTAAATAGAGAATAAAGGGTGTGCGTCATAAAAATAGGTTAAAACGCCAAAAATCAAAAAATTATTTTATAATGATGTCAAAATGGTAAAAAAATTTTTTTAATTTCTAAAAATTTTTAGGGGGTTTAAATAAAAAAATAATAAAAAGAAAAATATTGACAATAAAAAAAGGTCAAAAATAAAGTCGACCATTCTTAAGTAAAAAGGCAGCTGGAGATGATGATAGAATAAATTAATAAAATAAAAATAATTGAGACTACTTAATATATAATTATTTATTTAAATAATTAATAAGAAAAGAGTCTTGGCAATATTTAATAAAAGTTTAGTCTTTGTACTAATATGTTTAACTACAAAAAGTATCAGACTAAAAGTGTGTTTTTTGGGTTGGGTGGATTACTGGAATGGAGATTGAAGGAGAAATGGCACAAGAAGTTGGGTAGTATGTGGAAGGTGAACAACACCTTTCTAGAATGCTTTCTAAGGTCGTATAGCTTCTTGAAGGGTGGACGACATCACCTTTCCTAAAAGTGAATGATACCCACCCCAAAGTGAACTACATCTGAGAAGCATCTCTGGGGGTATAAATTTACAAGGAGGTTTTGTGAAGAATAATAAAGGATTAAAGAATGACATGGAGGTAGTTAATGGGAAATAGTACAAGAAATTGCGGTAGAAATGTGGAAGATTAGCGTCATTCCACCCCCAAACATTCACCTCATTCACCTTTGTGTGGAACTCTTCTGGAGGTAAAATGAAGCTTTAAAGTGAAGTTTAAAGGATTAAAGAGAAACAAGGAAGAGGTTAATTGAATGTAGAGGGACAGAAAAATAATACAAAAAAATAAAAAAAATTAAATAAACACCCTTAAATGTTTCCAAACACCCCTCTCTATTCTCCTCTCAATCATTCACACAAACCGACTGACTGCTTTCACAATACCCTTCACCCGCCTTATTTTCACATCTCCAATCTAGTCATACCCCCTCAATATTTCCATTTTTGCCTTTTAGCATGTGCCGCTTTATTTGACTAGCCAGCCTTGCTTAGCTTTTATGTCTCATCCCTGCAAAAATGCCCTTTGTGGGACGGTCATGCGAGTAAAAAATAAAAAGAAAAAAGTCTTAGACATCATGTGAAGGAATATTTTACATGTAAAATACATGTGAAATCGGTATTTAAATTTACAAAGGAAAATAAAGAGTTGAAAAGGTCAACTACAAGAAATGTGAGGATCACAAGGATTTACATGGATACCCTAAAGGGGAGTTAAAAAGGATTTGGAAGGTGTCTGGAAATGTTTTTTAAGCATCTTTAATTAGTGCTGGTATAAGTTAATGTCAGCCACAATAGTCCAATCCGCCTAAAGGGCTACTTACAATTACCATGTTTCTAAGGCACGCGGACATATTGTGACGGACATATCGGGATATTTCAATGCACGAACAGTTACCCTACTGATTTCTGGACCTACGGCCACTGGGTCTTGGATAGTATATTGTCCGGAATAGAGTTTTTATGTTTTAGAACAAACGTAAACACGCTAGAAATTATTTTTGTCGCACCAATCTCGATATTCCGTCCCGATATGTCCGCACACCAACTAAAGTATCTATCAGAGTTGAATCGGGACTCCAATTTCTGAAAATCTACAATTATTTCCGACTTCCGAGTTCCGAATTGTGAGCCATTTCCGATTTCCAACACCTTTGTAAGTTCCAATCGACCTCTGGTATTTATACAAGAATCAAAAATACCAAGATAGAATAAACTTGTCAGTTGTAAAATGAAAATAGTGGATTGTGGTGGATTGCGCTCTCGCGAGGGATTGGGATGATTCATTAAAAACAAGACTAAATCTAATCCGATTTAAAAAGCAGACAAATAAATTTATAAAATTATTAAGAGAAAATTTTTTACGTGTGCTCTTTAATTTCTCACTTATTTTTAAAGGAATTATTTTGTACAATATCAAAAACAAAAAAAAATTTTTGAGGAAAAAACGCTTTAAATTTAATTTAAAAAATATTTTTTAAATCCTTTTAAATTTAAAAATATTTTTAAATTCTCATTTGCCAATAAATAAGAAGGAAAAATAAAAAATAAAAAGGGCATAGCGCATGTTTACAATTTCCGTCATGTCTGGGAAAAAATAAAAAAAATTTGCAAATTATATTAGCGCATAAAAGTCTGAGCGATAAATATGAAAGTCTAAAGGGGTAAAACAAAAAATAGAAAGAGTAAAAACTGACTTAAACAAATAATTACAATAAGGGCCAACAATTTCTAAAAATAGTGTTAGTGTTGTCGCGAGTTCAAAACTTATTAAAATTAAGAAGCATTAACCGAAAAAATACAAAAAAACACTGATAAATAGAAAACACAAACAAAACCCACTTAACTAATAAGTAATAATGAGAATTTTACAAATTGTAAAACAAGTTTATTTTTTTTACAAATTGTAAAAAGTTTATTTTTACAAAATGTAAAACAAGTTTATTTTTTTACAAATTGTAAAAAGTTTTTTTTCGCAAATTGTAAACAAGTTTATTTTGTTTTACAATTTATTTTATCGTTTTCAGGTTTATTTTAAAGTTTTTACAATTCAAGTTTTTAATTGTAAAACAAGTTTATTTTTTACAATTTATTTTGTCGTGTTTTCAAGTTTATTTTAAACATTTTACAATTCAAGTTTTAATTTGTAATTTTTACAATTCAAAACCAACAAAATTGTAAAACACGTTTGTGTGTGTTTTGCTCATCTAAACACGTGTTTGATCACCACATTTTTGCTTTTTTGTTTATTTAATAAAAATAAAAGTGTCTTTCACGTGCACTGTTGGCTTTTTATGTTTTCAATTTTGTGTTTTGTTCTTTGAAGGGAAAACTTGGTGAGAAATGCGGGAAATTGAAGAGTGAAAATGTGTAAGTGCAGCCAATAAAAAAAAGAATTTTCAATTTCGAAATATTTAAGTTTATTTTTAGTCTTTAGTTTTTGCAAGATTGTAAATTAAGTTTTATCGAAAATAAAATAAGAAGGCAAGCAATGCAAATAAAAAGAAAAACAAAACATTTTACAATTTAAACTTAATTTTAAGTAGTTGTGAAACTTGAATTGTAAAAATAAATAAAAATAAACTTGAATTGTAAAACTTAAGTTTATTTTAAGTTTACAAATTCAAGTTTTATTTCTCAAGTTTTACAAATTTGAATGTTGTAAAATTCAAAAATAAACTTGAATTGTTTATTTTACAAATTGTAAAACAAGTTTAAGTTTTTACAATTAAAGCTTATCTTTGTTTTTACAATTTGCGTTTACCAGCCTTATTGCCCAAGTTTTATTTTTTTACATAAAAATGCGCAGAATAAAGACGTTTGAGTGTATTTTTAATATATTACGTCAATATTACAATTAATTAAATTATCAAATAAACAAAAATAAATTAAAAACTTAACAAAAATTCATTCAAAATGCTTCCTTTTAAAAAGATACAAATTAAACAAGTCAATTTTCATCGTTCTAATAAATTAAGTACGCGTATCCAAACTCTTGCCAACCTTTTGCAACAAATAGCTAAGCCCTACTTTTCGATTTTCTTCAGTTGTCGACTCATTCCAAATAAGCAAAATCGTCTGAAAAAATAAATAAAAATAAACAAAACATGTAGAATTGTAATTTTTTTACAATCCAACTTGAATTTTTACAAATCCAAGTTAATTTTTGTAATTCAAATTTATTTTTACAAATCCAAGTTTATTTTTGTAATCCAACTTTGTTTTTACAATCCAACTTGAATTTTTACAAATTCAAGTTTATTTATCTTTTCATCCTCGTTATCATCGAAAATAAAAGTTTAAAAACTTTTTACAATTTGTAATTTATAAATCTTTTACAAATTCCAGTTTATTTTCAATTGTAAAAACTTCATTCAAAACCTACATTAAACCCACAATCTTGCCAGTTTACACTAGTTGGACAATTCTTCTTAATAAATTCCAAGAGATCAGAATTAGAAGAGAAAGCATTTGCACTGTATTTTGTCAATTCGGAGTGAAGAACATCAAGCTGAAAATAAATATTTTTGTAAAAATTGTAACATAATTTGTAATTCAAAATTTAGAATCCAAGTTTTACAATTCAAGTTTTATTTTGAAACAAGTTTATTTTTTTAATTACAAATTCAAGTTTATTTATGTAATACAATTTTATTATTTTTTAAATTCAAGTTTATTTTATATTCCAGGTTTATTTATCAAAATAAATATTACAATTTAGCAATTGTAAAATAATTTTATTGATTCCAAGTTTATTTTTTCAAATTAATATTACAATTTTGCATTTGTAATCTAAATTACTTTCTTTCACAATTCAAGTTTATTTTTTTAATTTCAAGTTTATTTTTCCAAAACAAGTTTATTTTTATAATCTTTACAATTTTTGCTTTACAATTCAAGTTTTACTTGTTTTATTTTGTATTTCAAGTTTATTTTTATATTTCTTTTACAATTTGTAATTCCAAACTTTTTTTACAATTAATTTTTACCCTAACACAAATTAAAAAACTAAAAACAAACTTTAATAGCAACATTTAATCGAACCAAAATTGTAGTCATCGCAATCATTTCCAAACGCATATATTCTGTCATTTCTTGCTGAAAAAATTGTAAAAAAAATATATATAGAAATAAAATTATTTAAAAAAACTTTTTGACAAGTTGCATCCTTCTTGGGATTGCCAACATTATTAAAAATATTTCCATTAATATTATTATTATTTCCAAAGGGTTTTGTTCTATAAAATTTGTAAAAAAAATAAATAATTTTTAAAATTTTTTAAATTAATTTTAAAAATTAGAAAAAAAATTTTCACTTAAAATAATTTTTTAAGTTGAAAAAAAATTTTTTTAATCTGTTCAAAAACTCTTTTTAACTAGAAAAATATTTTTTAAGACAAAAAATAGGTATGTTTCCTTCAATTAGAAAATTTTTTTAAAATAAAATCACCAAAAAATTTTTTCGTTATTAAAATAATTTTCTTAAGTGGATAAAAAAATTTTTTTACAAATTTTTTCAAAAATTCCTTAAATACCTTTCTATTAAAAAATTTTTTTAATTAAAAATTCCCAAAAATATTTTAAAAATAAAAATTAAATTAAAAAATCCAAAACAAACTCTCTATAATATTGTTCATCAGCCACATAATCATTAATCAAATCATCATCTGGACTATTCTTCATTTTATCTCCTCCCCCTCCAAATTTATTTACCCCTTCCTTTTCCTCATCTGGACGTGACATAATAATAACAGGTCCATCTTCCTCCTCCTCATTATTATTCCCTTCTTCTTCCTCCTCAAAATTTTCTTCCCCTCCTCTCTCTTCCCCCTCTTCATTTTGTCCAATTTCTTCAATATCCGCCGTCTCGTCGTCACTACTCAACAAATTATTTCGATTTAATTGATTCGCCCTAATTTTTTTTGCCCCAAAACCTCCACTCAATAATGGCTGTTTTTGTTGCTCTAGACGATTTTTTAATTTTTGTTGTTCCGATTTTTTGAATTCTAATAAACGGGCACGAGCATTTTCGGTTATTCTCTTCTTTTCCAAATCAAAATTGTCAAAACTAACTTGTTGTTGAGGTCCAAATTGTTTGGAGTTTTCCTTGTCTAAATCTAATAGAGTTGAAGAAAAAGCATTTTTACGCTTTTGAAGCTCCAAAATATATTTGTCGGCATGACAAGATGTACGAATACCGATTGAGGTTGGCTGAAAATTTTAAAAGAAAATTTTTTGGGATTTTTGAAAATTATTTTTTTGACACGGAACCCGACCAAAGAAATATCGAAAACTAGACACAAAAGCCAAAAACATTTTCAATAGGGATTTTTTCAATAAAATAAATTTGGCTTACTGGCCAAATTTTTAACTGATCCATCCAAACGAATCCCTAATTTTTTTCTCATGCCAAAACATCCTAAACGCATTTGCGATTTTATGGTGAAAAATATAAACAAAATACTCCCAAAAATTTCTTGGACTTTTTAATTTTCGTAAACTCGAAGGAATGATTATTTTGTGGAAGAAATTTCACTAATTAAAATTTTCAAATAAAGGCCACCCAAATTCAACAAAATTTTCAATAATTCCCCAAATTCCATGAAATTATTAATTTCAAAAAATCGAAAAGGAATTTATTTTAGCCCAAGTCCTAAGCCTTCAAAAATTTCTTACCAATAAATTTTGGTAATATTGAACCTGACAGACCCCATTTTTTCCTCCCCAAGTATTTTCCTTTATATTTGTAGACTGGTAAACTTCTTCCTTTTTTCTATGCCAATTTTCTCTTCTTCCATCCAAGGGGGAATAAAAATTAATTCTTTTGATTTTTGTTAGCAAAATATAGAAAATCAATTGAAATGAGAGGAAGAAGTCTGACCATTCTGTAGATATGAAGGAAAAAACTTGGGGAGGAAAAAATGGGGGTTTGTCAGGTTCAATATTACCAAAATTTATTAAAAAATAATTAAAAAAAAAATACATTTTTCCTCGTTTCATCTTTCATCACATCCTTTGCAGCCGTACTAGAAAGTAACCGATTTCCTTCTTCGAGTGCCTCATCCCCAAAATAATCAGAATCTTCATCCTCCTCCTTATTTTCCAATCCCGTTTCAAGTTCCTCATCCGAGTACAAATCTTCAGCAATGTTTTGTGAGGGCTTTGAAGTTTTTGAGGTTGGGTTTTTCTGAATGTAAAAATGGTAAAAAAAATTTTAGTTAAAAATAAACCAAAAAAGTCTCGTTCCCTTTAACTTCTTTTTCAAGCGAAGGCTCATCCCAAATCCCTCCAGAAAATTTTTTTTCTTGACGAGCATTGGATTCGAATTTTGTGGCTGGTAAAGGAACCAAATTGAGCGTTTTTGTCTGAAATTGTAAATTTATAAGATAAAGGAAATTGAGCAGAATATGAAGAAACAAAAGTTAAAAAGGGAAAATGAGAGAAAACTGAAACAAAAAGGTCCCGAGTCCCATTTACCGTTTTATCGCAGATAAAAGGAAAAAGAGGGAAATCCTAACATTCCTCTTCGAAAACAGAGAATAGGGTTGTCGGTTTCAACTCGAAACGGAAAACCGGAGATTTTCGACGCGGTTAACCGAAGAACTTGGTGAAACCGACAACCCTAACAGAAAAAATGAAAAGTGAGCCGTTAAAGGATTTTCACAAAAATTTTTTTGAATCAATTTTTACTGAAAACCCAAAGGTTCAGCACGTGATTTGTTAGACGGCAAAATAAAAAAGAGAAATTTAAACCCTAACATCATTTTTGGAAAGAGCTGAACGTCTCGGAGCTAATGGATTGTCTGCCAACGCAACTGAAAAATTTAATTAAATTTTTAAAAAATTTTTGGGGTCACTTTAGTACGTGGGTGCAAGCTTTAAATTACAAATGTTATATCATTCGAAAGAGCTAGTCGAGCTGAGTCGAATGCCACCAAAATTAGGTCTAGGAAAAATTTTTGAACCGAGATACAGGCGATTGAAAATCGAAAAACCAAAGGGGGGACCAAGCTGATTTTTGGGGTCAAAAATTCGATTATACAAATGATACCTCATTCGAAAGAGCTCCTCGAGCTGAGTCGAATGACACCAAAATCAACGGAATCCGACTTGAATGGACCGAGATATAGACCCCTAAAAATCGAAGATCTAAAAGGGCGATTTTTGGAATAAAAAATTTTTTATACAAATAATACCTCATTCGAAAGAGCTCGACGAGCTGAGTAAAATGACACCAAAATCACCGTGATTGAACAAGATTAGACAAAGTTATGACACAAAAAACAAAAACCTAAACCTATGGGGCGTCGGCGAGGCGCTTGTGCAAAACCCCGCGCTTCGCGCGGGGTTTTGCGGCACGCGCCTCGCGGGGAGTCTACGGGCGCTGGGTCTGGGCTCGTAACATAAACCTATTCCTAAATCCATTGCTCTGGACGTATTTGGGACTTCCGTAGCAGCAAAAATCTCAACAGACGCCATAGGTAAGGAGCTAAAATAAAAGATCATAACTTTGTCCAATCAAGTCGGATTCCGTTGATTTTGGTGTCATTCGACTCAGCTCGAGGAGCTCTTTCGAATGAGGTATCATTTGTATAATCGAATTTTTGACCCCAAAAATCAGCTTGGTCCCCCCTTTGGTTTTTCGATTTTCAATCGCCTGTATCTCGGTTCAAAAATTTTTCCTAGACCTAATTTTGGTGGCATTCGACTCAGCTCGACTAGCTCTTTCAAATGATATAACATTTGTAATTTAAAGCCTGCACCCACGTACTAAAGTGACCCCAAAAATTTTTTAAAAAAACCTTCCAAAGGCCGCTTCATTTTTAAATAAAGAGATCCAGTTTGTTCAACATCTGTGGTCCTAAAAAAGAAATTTTGAATGAAAAAAATCTTCAAACAAACATTTCAATGTCTTTAGGCATAAAACTTTCAAAAACTTGTTTAATGTGTGTTTTGCTGAAGAATCGGCGAAGTTCCTTAATTTTTAGTTAAATTTAGAAAATAAACACTGAAAACCCCCAAAAAAAGGTTATTAAAAATTTGAGAACGAAATTTCGAACTTTGTGTGTATCAGAGGCGAGTCGGAACAGTCCGAGGTGTCGGAAATCGGAAGAGTCTGAAATCGGAACTAATTCAAAAGTCGGAACTCGGAAATCAAATTTTTTTTTCGAAAATCTGAAGGAAGGAAAAAAACGTTGGAAATCGGAATTCCGACCCAACTCTAGTGCGTGTCTCTTTTAAATTTCCTTTCTAATTCCCTCCAAAATTAGAGGGAAGAAAATACCAAGTCGGTATCTAAAAAGAGGTTGGGCATCTAACTCCCCCTTTACTAATCCTTTATTGACTGATTGGATGCCATTTGGAAATAGAGCAAAATTGAGGAAAGAAGAAAAAATCAGAAACCCAAAAGGCCTCAAGGCTATCCCTGATTATAAAAATATCGATTTTCAAGTCTCATTCGGTATATAAGAGCTTAGGGCATCTAATTTAAAAATAAAATTCAAAACCCCACATCTTTATTCAAATAAGTCTCAAAGTCAACAAAATATTGTTTTTGCAATTCCAACAAATTAACGTGGTCTTCCTCGGCTCCCTTTTTAGCCAAACAGGTCAACATACGTTTACGTCCCTTTAAATTGAAATTTTAAATTGTAAAAAATATAGGGAGAAGAACCTCATTAACTTTGTCACTAATGGTAAGTTTTGCTAATGGATTGGCCATTTAAAAATTTTTTGCTTAATTTTCTATAAAAAAATTCAGAAAAATCCAAAAAAAATCAACGAAAAAATTAAAATCAAAAATAATAAAGACTCCCTCATATTTGACCAAAAACACATTTTGCCAATAAGGCTTAAAATTTACGTTTTGCCAGCAAGCCCTAATGACAAAATGTAAATTTTGCCCCATATTGGCAAAATGTGTTCTTGGTCAAATGTGATTCAGTAATAAAAAATAAAGTTAGAGTAAATCTCTTAAGTTCACACACTCTCTCATAATAAAAAATTAATCGGTAAAGGACGATTCAGTATCAGACGATTCAGCATACCGTAAATACTGTATTAATTACCCTCCCTCAAAAATTACCCTGCCTCTAGTAATTACTCCCTCACGAGTTGAAACAATAATTACCCAGAGTATATGGCCTCTGTTAATATTCGTCCGATTCTGATAAATCTCATATCATTCGAAAGGTCTAAAACTGCTCTGGAGCGGTATTATAAGAACTCGGTTGCTGGTTAGGTAACCTTACGACTGTGGTTAACCACGTGTTTTTTATGATACCACTACCTTTTGGTTGCCTAACGAAGGTTAGGTGACCGTGGGCAAGTAACCATTGTCAGGTGACCAAGTTCTTATGATACGGCCCCTGATCAGATTCATAATTGAACTGTTTTGATCATTAACAAAAAGACGTTTTTTAAATAAATTTTAAAAAAAGTTTTTTTCAAGTACGACAATAAAAATAAACTTTGTTCCTGTCAAACAGTTAATAAAAAATTAAAAAAAGACGTCCATAAAGATTAACCATAAAAAATAAAAAAATGGCTTTTAGATTATTGGAGCTATAAAATATGTCTGGAATTTTTAACAAAAGAAAACGAAACTTTTTAAACTTTTGAGCTAATAAATAAAATTTTAATAATAAAAAAAAAAGTTTTTTTGACAAAAGAAATGTCGAATTTGAGGAAATAAAAATTTTTAGGTTTTAAATTTTATGTTAAATTTTGGGTAATAAAAAGTCTGGCAAAAGTCTGCCTATTTAAACTCGTTGAGACTCCCATAGAATTTTAAATTTATCAAAAATATTTGGGGGAAATGTCCCTTATTGGAATACTTATAGCCTTTTGCATTATTCCTACAGCGGTTAACGCGGATTGTCTTTCAGGGAACTGGACAACTCGTGTTGCTACAGATGGTAATACGTATGGGTATCAAGTACTGATGAGAGATTGGCTTAATTTTTATGAGGTGAATGAATTTTATTATTTCCTTTGAATAATGTGAGGAAGAAGAAAAATCCAGCTAGCATTAAAGCACTTACTAGTGGGAGTATTAAAAGTGACGGTGAAAAACTTGCCAGTAGCTCAGTCGTTAGTTCACATAGTATAAATGGTGAGAGAAGGCACTAGTGATGTTCGAGACTCTCTGTCCCGGTTCCCGAGTTCTTGGTCCTGGTCTAAGTGTTTATTCCCGATCTCGGTCTCTATCTCGGCTTTTTTAACTCCCGAACATCACTAAAAGACGCATAACAACTAGGAAATGTCGTATATCGATGTCTGCCATAGGCTAAACTTTACCTCTTTTACTTGCTCAATTTCCCGTAGATTATTTATTTTCTAGTTTACATTAGAGTTGTAGCAATTACCCCGCTTATTCTCTAATATTATTTGTCAAACCCCCTACGACAGACCATCGAGATAGGAAAATATTTAGATTGCTAATAACCACAAAAATTGTAAAGACAAAAACCTTAACCACAAGGGACTGGTTCCGTAAACCCAAAAATTAACCAAAAAAATTTAAAGGCCCGTGCTCTATGTCTCGGTGTTGGAGGAGATGTGGCTTCTATCCACAGTGATGCTGAGAACGAGTTTGTTCGAAAATTGGCCGCCCCATATATTATCGCTTGCCAAACAAATAAAACAACTTGTGGCTCTAGAGCTTCTACAAGCCTTGACTTGATTTTGAGTACAGTTTGGCTGGGAATGAATCGTTGCCAATACTTTCCTAATTATAATGCTACTGTTGATTGTGTGAATTCGGATGGAACGCCTTGTGATTACGCTACTACTTCTTCGATTTCTCCATGGGCTGTGGGAAGCCCTTCAGGATCTGACAGCGGAGGGGGAGGTAATTTTTATTTTTAAAAATAGGGCATAGGTGACACCTTTTCGTATCTTGGCTCTCCGACTTTCGTATCCTGGCTCCGGCTAAGGCTCTCCGACCTTGGCTCTCCGATCTTTCGTATCTTGGCTCCGGCTCAGGAGCCGTTGGATTCTGCGTTGATCCACGTTGATTTTAGGCTCCCGCTCATGTTGACTTCGGACTCCGTCGATCGGCAGATGCAGTTTTGCAGGGGCTAAAAGGGATCCCAATAATTTGGAAGAATATCAGGTTAAGGCTCCGATTGGAACTAGTTCCCGATCCCATACTCGCCAGCATTGTCAAGACAAATTATTAGTAATGCTTATATCTTCACTTTAAAGCTGGTCTCATTGAGGAGTGCGTTTCAATGTTTAACGCCACAACTGGAGAGTGGAACGATGTTTCATGCTTCCAAAAATTGGGTGGAGTAGTTTGTAAAAGAAATTGTACAGGAACATGTGGAAGTACATCCATCAAGACTGCTTTGCTTACTAGCCCTTCTGACATTACAGACAGTTAACTAACTTAATTAACCTAATTGAAATACCGTTAAATATTTAAGCGAGTTGTACATCCGGCAATTGGACTAAACGAACAGGTGAAGATGAAAAAACATATGGTTATCAAGTTGTAATGAAAGATTGGCTTAATTTTTATGAGGTCGAGAAACACTCGCTATCTTATGCTAAAAAATTTTTAAATTCAAGGCAAATGCACAATGTCTCGCGATCGGAGCCGAAGTCGTATCGGTACATAGCATAGATGAAAATGAATTTATTCGTCAATTGGCCGCTCCATATATAACTGCGTGTCAAACGAACACATCTGTGTGTGCTAGTAGAGTTTCTACTACTCAAGACATTCAGTGGCGTTCACTTTGGTTAGGCTTGCACCGTTGTGCATTTTATCCTTCTTACAATTCTACTGTTGATTGTATCAACTCGGATGGAAGCAATTGTGATTATTTCAACATCACTGGAGGTCCTTCAGGAACGGAAACGGGAACAGCATGTAAGTATAATCTTAAAACAATGCATGCGCTGTTCTGCTTAATATCATTTTATTCAAATAATTTTAGTAATAAAAACTTTCTTTTAAAGCTGGTCAACAAGAGGCTTGCGCTGCTATGTATAACGGCACATCAGGAGAGTGGAATGATATAGCATGCTTTAACAAATTGGGTGGAGTAATTTGTAAAAAGAACTGTTCGAACGCTTGTGGAGTTGCATCGACAACTACCACACAATTGACTACAACTACTACACAGCCAACTACAACAACAACCTTACCAACTACCACAACAACTTTACCAACTACAACAACAACCTTACCAACTACTACAACAACTTTACCCACTACCACAACTACTTCGCCCACAACTACCACAACCACTTTACCAACTACCACGACTACTTTACCGACTACCACAACCACCCAACCTTCTACAACAACTACCACCCAGCCAACTACAACCACAACAGAACCCTCCACTACAACTACCTTCAATTGCGCTCAACCCCCAGTCACTTCATTGCTGAGCTACAACCCTTCCGATCCCAAAATATCAACTAATGGCAATACAACGGAGGGAGTTTGTGAATGTCCAGCCGATCCCGACAATAAAAATGTCTTTTTTATTCCTGTTACAACGGTTACAACTGGTTCAAGTGCAAGTAGTTCTTCGGTCATTATGAAGTGTTCAAGGATGCAAGACTTTTGTGTATGCGATGAAGACGATATTTGTTGGAAAGTAATAAATGCTTATTCTCTTATTGTGATTAATTCCTTCTGCGATCCAACATGTCATATGTATGCACGATTAACTAACTCTGCACCGTTTAACCAAACCTTCGAAAGCGAATGTGGAAGAAGAATTACACTGGATGATGAATTGACTCCAATTCCAAATACAAAATTTCATACATTCAAACCAATGGGAAGCTCAGCCGACTATTACATCAAGGTCAGTTTGATTTGTTATACTGAATCTATTGAACATTTTTTAGGCTGCGAGTATTCGATGTCTTCAGGCAGGCGAGACTTGCACTCCAATCAAATGTTCGGGGACGAGAAAGCCCTCTCCCTGTGGGGCGCCTGATAAGTAATAATAATAATCTGACAAGTCGATTCATTCTTGGGAGTGCTAATATGATTAACATTTCCTTAATATTATTATTAATTTTTGTCGTAGAAATTGTAAAAATAAATTAAGCTTGGGATAAAACTTCTTTATAAAGCTCACAGCTTTTTTGAGAATTACTGAGATACATACAAAATAAAAATCAGAAAATAAACCAGAAATCAGAACAAAATGAAAGCAAAGCCTTCAATGTTTTCACCTAAATGCCCTTTTCAAATATAAAAAATCAACATTTTAACTCACAAATTTATACTTACAAAATTTGATCAATAAGATTATAATCAGAAATTTGTCCTTATAATTAGAAAATTCGCTGTTGGTTAAATTGGGTTTGATCTGCTTTAAAACGAGAGTTTTTATACTCATTGGTAAAATATGGGTATGGTGAAACATGGTGGAAAGCTTTTAATGAAAGGACTTTTGACCGGCGCTCCGACACGGGCACAGTGATCCATTTGCACAGTAAGACAATTGCACATTGGGCATCTGCACAGTGGACAATTGCACAGTAATTTGTGGTTAAGTGCATTTGTGTTAGACTTTCTGATAAGTTTTTTAATAATAAAATGGTTTTTCTTAAACAAAAACAATTTTCCCTGTTCTATAAGCAATTTTTCCCGTTGTTGGAAAAGTTGTTCGCGGGAGACGAAAACTCGCAGAGATATAGGCTCCCGAAAATCGAAAAACAATAGAGTAAACCAAGCGGTTTTTTGGGGTAAAAAATTCGAAGATGCAAATTATAACTCATTCGAAAGAGCTTTTTGAGTTGAGTCGGCTGACACCAAAATCATCTTGATTGGATGATTCTGGGTATTGTGACTTATAGGGGGTTTTTTTGGCTGGACCGATTTGGACAAATGAGGTGTCATTCGAAAGAGCTCGCTGAGCTGAGTCGATTGAGGGGCGAGTGGAGTCGATCCGACAATCAGGGACCGAGATACAGACCCCTGAAGTTTGAAAAAGAGAAGGGGGAGTAAGCTCATTTTGAGGTGAAAAATTCGAAAATGCAAATAATAGCTCATTCGACTCAGCCCGTCGAGCTGAGTCGAATGACACCAAAATCATCGAGAACCGACTTGATTTGACAAAGTTATGATCGTTTGTTTTAGCTCCTTACCTATGGTCTTTGTTGAGGTTTTTGCTGCTACAGAGGCCCCAAGTACGTCCAGAGCAAGAGAGATAGGAATAGGTTTATGTTACTGACCCAGACCCAGCGACCGTTGACTCCCCGCGAGGCGCGTGCCGCGAAACCCCGCGCGAAGCGCGGGGTTTCGCACAAGCGCCTCGCCTACGCTCCATAGGTTTATGTTGACCAATTTGAACCTGTTTATCTTGGCTCAGAATCAAGATATCGAGCTGATTTTGGTGTCATTCGACTCAGCTCGACGAGCTGAGTCGAATGAGCTATTATTTACGTTTTCGAATTTTTCACCCCAAAATGAGCTTACGCCCCCCTTCTCTTTTTCAAACTTCAGGGGTCTGTATCTCGGTCCCTGATTGTCGGATCGACTCCACTCGCCCCTCAATCGACTCAGCTCGGCGAGCTCTTTCGAATGACACCTCATTTGTCCAAATCGGTCCAGCCAAAAAAAACCCCCTATAAGTCACAACATTCATGATTCTGAACGAAGTTATGACCTATAGGTGAATGAGCCTTGCGTTTATTTGGAGTGTTTCGCGACTAAACAGGCGTTTTGCGAATAAATGGGTAGGTTGTTTTGCGAATAAACAAGACTTTACTGTGCACTTGTCCACTGTGTAATTGTCCTCTGTGCAAAAGTCTTACTGTGCAAATGGATCACTGTGCCCAAGTCGTGTCACCCTTTTGACCAGACACGAATTCTGTAAATTTCTATTTGCTTCTTTGTAAGATTGTAAAAGTTTCAGAGTTTTTATTTTAAAGCAAAAACACATAAAACAAAATCAGAATTTGTAATTCTGATAATATCTCTTTTTCACACTTTTATAAGTTGTATTTCTGATTTGTAAAATATTAGTAAAATACAAAAACCAGAATTTAAAAATCAGAATTCGATTCCAACAAAAAAGAACCAGAATTTAAAAACCAGAATTCCATTCCAACAAACAAAAACCAGAATTTAAAAATCAGAATTTTATTCCAACAAACAAAACCAGAATTTAAAAATCAGAATTCGATTCCAACAAAAAAGAACCAGAATTTAAAAACCAGAATTCCATTCCAACAAACAAAAACCAGAATTTAAAAATCAGAATTCGATTCCAACAAAAAAGAACCAGAATTTAAAAACCAGAATTCCATTCCAACAAACAAAAACCAGAATTTAAAAATCAGAATTCGATTCCTATAAACAAAAACCAGAATTTAAACCAGAATTTAAAAATCAGAATTCGATTCCAATAAACAAAAACCAGAATTTAAAAATCAGAATTCGATTCCAACAAACAAAAACCAGAATTTAAAAATCAGAATTCGATTCCAATAAACAAAAACCAGAATTTAAAAATCAGAATTCGATTCCAATAAACAAAAACCAGAATTTAAAAATCAGAATTCGATTCCAACAAACAAAAACCAGAATTTAAAAATCAGAATTTGTAATTCTGACTCTTATACACTTGTAGGAGCGATGTTGTATTTCTGAGTTGTAAAATACATATTACGAAAATACAAAAATCAGAATTTCTAGTGTTTTATTACAACAAATAAAAACACAAATAAAATAAAAATACAACACAGCAAAAAAATAAAAACACAAGAAAACACAAGTAAACTTAAAAATACATTAATGTCTTCCAAACGTTTTAACGATTTTCTTCGCCGTGCGCAGGGTGCAATCTCCAACTTTAGAAATGGTTTATTGAAATTTTATTAAATTAATTAAAATATTTAGGAGGATCAGGGTTTTTTATTGGCAGAAATGGAGAAGTGATTTATTCAAAAAATAATATTTGTTTGCATGAGGATGCAGAAAATATTGCAGATTTGTGTTTTTAAATAAAATTTAATAATTTTTTTTAATTAAATGAATTTGAAAAAATTAATTTTAAAAAAAAATAAAAATTCCGGATCTAGTAGAGAGCATAAGTCCCAAAACACTGATGCATCCCCCATAAAAATTCTGATACGTCCCCCATAAAAATATCGGGAATTTGGTTACTGCCTGAAAGACCAATCCAAAAGATAAGCTAAGTTAACATACAAGTTCCAGACTTGGTGACCTTTTCTGAACTTCAAAAAACGGTTTGGAAGCCAAGACAGATATTAAAGACTTGGACTAAATGTACATGTATTTGGCCTATTTTTTCTCGTATACACATATAAGGGTACGCCTTTGGTAAAACTTCAATATACTGCATATGACCCATAAATTGGCCAGGAACCATAAAATTTAAAAATCTTTCTTATCAGAAAATTTCAAATTTTAAGAGAACCAATACACACCCCAGGCTATCTATCTATTTATTGTCTAGATGATGAATTGTTGGGTGTAACCCTTGTATTGCAATGGATGCCTAATACTTTATTGGAAAAAAATCCGACAAGGTTTTCTGAAAAATTGCTGTTGTTTGTTGTTGTGTTGTGGTTTGTCAATAATGAAAAATAAATGTTAGAAAATTTTGAGAAATATTTTTTAAATTTTTTTTGTAAAAATAAAATTTCGTCCCTACATGAACTGAGATGAAAATTTAAAAAAATTATCGAAACAATCAAAAATTATAAAAAAAATTTCAAAAATCGAAAGGACAAGGGACGGGTAGAAACTCAAAATCGAAAATCAAAATATTTATGTAGCTAAGGTAGCACAACGAAGGCCATGGGGACGGGGTGGATTTCAGGGTTAATATTAAGGGCATTGGTTGGAATTTTGAAATTTGCTCGTACTCGAACTTTCAGACAGGCCTTTTTTTACCTCGTACTAGTACCTGCCTCATTTTTTCACCTGCCTCACTTCGCACACAGGTACGAGTATGAATTTTGGTACGAGCTTCCAATCATTCATTAAAGGTTGGAAAAAAGAGACCTAGAGGGGATTAAATTTTAAATTGTTTTTTTTATAAATTTATTCATCTAAATTAATTTTAATTTTCTCAATTTTATCTTTTTTCAGTATTCGATCAGTCTCTCCTAAACCTTTATCTTTGAATGAAAATGTTGAAAATAAAAATTTAATAATTACTCGACTTTCTTGTTCCAATAGAGAAGTTGGTGGTGATAGTGAAGAAGAGGGAGAGGTTTTTAAAAAATTTTGACTTCAATATAAGCTATCCCAAAATTTTTTGTTCTCTTCGGAGAAATATGGATCCCTCTGAATATTTTATAATTTGTGATACTTTCTTGATTTTACAAAAAATAATGAAAAAAGGGAAGGAGAAAGCTCAAAATGGTCAGGGAATTAGGAAGAAAGAAGGGTTAGCCCCGAAAATATCTAAGTGATATGTTTGATTAAATTCGGATGGTCGCTGGATGGGGTAGCTTCCAAAGTGATACTTCCTATTTAAAATACAGCCTGTTATAGTGTAAGGGGTTTCCAGCCCAGAGGGTTTATATTGAGGTCTGGCTTTTTAGAAATTAAAAAAAATTCTTTTAATTAAAGTTAAGTACAATAGAAGAAAGAGTAAAAGAAGAACAACAATATTTTGATAATTCCTTAATTATTGAAAAACATTTTGAAGAAAATGAAATTGTTGTTGGTCAACGACCAACAACATTGCTTCAATCGGAGGAACAAACGGTGAGGGATTTTTGAAAGGATTTTTAGAAATTGATTTATTTTTTGGAGCATGGATGTCTCGGATTACCCCAAGCACGAAACCCGATCCGAAGAAAATTTTGAAAACTATACATGAAACTCGATACTTTTTCTCAAACCGAGACATACCGTAAATACTCTAATAGAAGCACTGGGCTTATATTTTTTAATGGGCCCCCTCGGATGGGCTTATATGTATATATGTATTAGAGATGGGCTTCTCTTCTACAAGAGATGGGCTTCTATTAGAGTATTTACGGTAACTCGTAAAAAATTTTTTGGAGAGGAAAATTGAAAAAAAATAATTTTGGAAAAAAATTTTTTTTTAATTTTTTCCCTTGTAAAACTGTGAGGCTAAACGAGAAATTTCCTTGGAAAAAAATTTTTTTGGAGGAAAAATAAAAATACAAAAAAATGGTACTTTATGGATATGTCACCCCCCTCCTATTTTGAGTCTCAGAGTTTTCCATATACGCAGAAAATGGTCGGAAATTATTTTCTTCTCCATGTCAATCATTGTTTTATTCTTCAAGTATTTTGCTTTTTTATTTTGCCTTTTCACATATTTTAATAAAATTTGTACTTACATTTCACTGTACAAATTCACTCATTACGTTTCTACATGTACCATATTTCACTTATTTTGCTTGAAGAAAAAAATGATTGACACGGAGAAGAAAATAATCTCTGACCATTTTCCACGTATAAGGAAAACTCTGAGACTCAAAATAGGGGGGGGGGGTGACATATCCATAAAGTACCAAAAAAATTTGTTTTTAAAGTTCTTGTCTCTACCCTCAATAAAATTAATTCCAAATACACCAATTGAACAAGAAATGGACGGAAGAATTGGAGATGATCGGGTTTATGAAGGATTAAATTAATTAAATTATATTAAAAATTTAGATGACAGAAAGTTCTGGGGCAACTTCCTGTGAAGATGAATTGGTGGAAGATGAGGAGGAGGAAGGGGAAGTAGATAATGGGTCGTCTGTTTATGATAAATCGGAGGAGGATGAAAAAGGTTTTCTTAAAATTAGGAAGAAAATGGGTTAGTTAATTTTTGGGCTGATTCATTATGGGTTGTGGAACCTGAATATTACCTATATTTTTTAAAATCATAGCGAAGTGAAGTAAACTTCGCTATGATTCGCTATATTGAAGTTGAAGTAAAATATGTATCTCTTTATCCTAGTAGCACCTCGAAGTTAAGCTAGCCTAACAAGAATCTTGTCTCTAAACTAGGGTTTGACCCCGAACGCTCGGGGGCGGGTATGTCGGGGTACGGGGTTTTCGAAATGTTTCGGGGCGGGGTTCGGGTCGGGGGAGCAAAATATGGTCGGGGTTCGGGTCGGGGTACGGGGGTTTACTGAAAAATTTTTTTAAGAAAAAATGCTCTGAAAATAAGCCATTTTCGATCTATTTTCGTCAATTTATTCAGAAATTAATGAGAATAAGATGGGATTAATGATTTTTATCGATTTAAAATGTATGTCTGGTAGTGTTTCATCGGAAATTCCGGTTCTGGTTTCGGAAAGTTCCGGCGCTTTTAGGTTCCGGTCCGGTTCTGGGATACGAACTAAAATTGGATTAGGTTCTGGTCAAAATTTTGGTTCCGGTGAAACACTAATATCTGGGGAGGTAAATAAATTTTGACGGATTAAGAAAGATTTAAAGAGATTAACTGACATATCTGGCGAAGGATTAACCCCTGATATCACATCCGCCGATAACCTCCTTAATCCCTCAATAGCATTATAGCTGAGTTTTACATTTTCAGAGCCGCAGGCGAAAATTATATAAATTTTTAGGGTTAGCGATGCAAACGAAAATTTTTGAAATTTTAACACTAAATAAAAAATCTTGCATTGTTTTTATGGTTGACAATATTTAAAAATAAGATTAACATTTTAAAATATAAAAATATAAAAATTTAAAATATAAAAAACTCTTTTTTTGTAAAGAAAAATCCTAAAACAAACTATTTCTACTATTTGGATCCGAACCCAAACCTATATTAATAGACCTATAGGCTAGAACCAATAACTAAGCCACTAAACCACAAGTCTCTTAACAGGGTAGAAAAAAGAATTTTGATATTTCTTTCATTTTTCTTTCAAAAATAATAAAAGCAAAGTAAATTGGGAGGAAATTTTTAAAATTTTTCTCTTAAAATTCTCCCAAAAATGGCATTTTTTGGGTATATAAAACCCCGATAACCCCGAAACTTTTCGGGTCGGGGAACGGGGTTTTCACTTTTTTTCGGGGCGGGGTTCGGGTCGGGGAGAATCGTGAAAAAATCGTTCGGGAACGGGGTCGGGGTTCGGGGTCGGGGTCAAACCCTACTCTAAACATAAAGTAGTTACAAAGGAAGTTTCTTTTCAAGGGAAGTCGGATCCACCTTCCAACTAGAGCAGCTTTACTAAATTTGGTAGAGGTCTATAGAGATTGTTTTGGGGTATATGTCCATTCCTTTAAATTCTAATTATTTTGGCCATATCTTCGAAAATTTATTTTATTTTTAAGAACAAAATTCTTCACGCCATTCTGACCCTTTTTGCCAAAAATTTGCTGCTTCTCTCTTTTTTGATTCGATCCCTGAACATTTTGCTAGAGATCATAATTTAGTATGGAATAAAATAAATAATGAAGAAAATGGGGAAGAAGAAGAAAGTACAAGCAATATATTAGCTTTAACCAGAGATAAAGTTATTTTCCAATCAAGAAAGGTTGAGGAGGAAAAAATAATATTAAATGAAGATCAGAACAATAATAAAGAAATTGCTGGGAAGAAACTTGCTTCTTTATTCTCCGTTAATTTAGGTTTGATATAAACAAAAATACAAAATCAGAATTATAAGATAAATATAAAATCAGAATTCAGAAAAATACAGGAAATGATAAAATACAAAAAATATTTTCCGGAAAACACAAATAACTGGAAAATTAAAAATACAAAGGAATACAAAATCAGAATTATAGAACAAATTTAAAATACAAAAGCGTGAAACAAAATACATAAATGTTTTCAGAAGCTTTCAGAATTTATTACGAACAAGTTTTCCGGAAAGGGTTCAGAATTTCATCCGAACAAGTTTTTTTTGATTTCAGAATCAGAAAAACATACAAAAAGTAAAACAATAAAATACAAAATATTTTCCGGAAAACACAAATAAATAGAAAATCAGAATTTAATATAAAAAAGAAAAACAGAATTTATAATATACCGGAAAACACTGAATTTTCAGAATCAGAATAAAACAAAAAGTGTTTTAAGATCAGAATTTTATTGCAACAAATGTGTTTTTATAATCAGAAATAAAGAAAATACAAAAGAATTTCAGAATCAGAAAAACATATTTAATTAAAATAAAGAGAATACACAAACAAACATTAATTTTATTGTTTAATGTTTTTTCTGATTTATTATAATTTTTTCTTTTAAACTTTAATTAAAGGCAAAATGCGATCAATGCGCGTATTTTATTCAAATCCAGAACGAACAAGTGGTAAATAAAAATATATTAAATTTTTAATATTTATTAAATTCCATGTTAAAGGGCAACTTGTTATTGCCAGTTACGATTCACAATATAAAATATTTCATTTCCATCATGATGGGCTTGACAAATTGGCATTAATATTTGAACGTTGGAATGCTGTAAAGGCTAAATCTGCTGGGAATGATGTAAAATTTTTTAAAAGGCTTTATTCCTTAACGAGAATCTTTAAAATTATTTAAAATAAAGTTTATTCGAACTAAGTTTCAGAATTAAATTAGAACATGTTTTCAGAATCTTTCAGAATTTATTCCAAACATGTTTTCTGTTACGACCGAGGTGTCCGAGCTTTACTGAATGTCAACTAATACAACAATAACACTTTATCACACTTAGAAATAAACAATAAGTGTAGGCGAAGGGAATGGGACAGACGAAGGAGATCAGTGACTAGCCCCGCTAGTATGATCCGACAAGACTGACGATTTAACTGGCTTTTATACTAAACACTTTAAGGGCTGACGCCCATACACAACACCTCCCCCCTTGAAAAAAAGGTTCGGCTTTCACTTAAAGCCGAAGCTTTACAATTTTAAACATTCACTATAGCTTCCATGCTATCAATACAATTACACTAAGCCAGTTCGTCTAGTCTCACTCTAACACTCACTCACAACAAAATACAAAAAATGTGGGATGACAAAAGGGCAAAAAGCAAAACAACAAATTAAAATTACAACAATTTACGAAAATCACAAAATTTGTCATCTGTTCCACATTTTATTTTTTTTCTGGCAGCGGTCGTCTACAGTGCATACAACAGTTCCAACAAGGCAAGAATGCACGTCCTTCTTTTGTCACACTTAATGATCATCACACTGCTTGTCCATAAGCTTTCACTTTTATTTTTCACTTTTCTTCACTATTTTATTTTCCTCACTTCACTTTTATTTTTCACTTCCATTTTTTTACACTTTCTATTGCGGCACTACTTTCACTTTTTTAACACTGTGCCCAATAACTAAACTTCACTGAATTGCATCACTACTAAACTTAAGTGAAGTCAAACTCCACAACACTAACAATTCTGCTAGTGTGCAGTTCGGTGCCGTTTTCCCGTGTACTTTTAGGATGGCTCGTGGTTGAATACTATCACTTGACTACTACTACTACTAACTAACCACTCAAAGGATCCTGTTACATCCTGCCTCTGTCAAAGACTCAGGTACCGCAACACTTCACTGAACTTACACTATGTGTAGTCTGGGTTGCTTCACTCACTTGCGCTGGAATACTTCAATAACTAATAATATTCACTCCTCAGTGCCTTGACTCACTGCAATTCACTTCAATTCAAACTTCACTATTTGGTCTTACCCACCCTTAGGCTGCCAAATTTATTTTACTCACTTCATTATTTGGTCTTACCCACCTTTCTTGGCTGCCAAATTTTACTTTTTTTACTACAATTCAAACTTCTTTATTTGGTCTTACCCACCCTTTAGGCTGCCAAATTTTTACTCTTTTACACTTTTTAATTTTCTCAATTTCTGGACTTACATTCTCTTGAATGCCAGACACTTCAACACTTGATCGGCAAAATTCTACGCACTTCCAGGACCACTAGGCATTTCAGCCTTAAACTTCGACCACTGGCACTCGCACTGAGTCCTTTTTCAGGTCACTACTCACTAACTCAAAAGGTCCATGCGCACTAACTAACAATTCACTCATTTCACTTCGACTCATGCCGATCACTAATTACGACGTCTGTCCACTCAAAATCAAAACAATCACTTCACTAATTGCTAAAGCAATTCACTACACTTCGCCACACTTCACTTTTTGTCGACCGCGCCATTTGTTACGACCGAGGTGTCCGAGCTTTACTGAATGTCAACTAATACAACAATAACACTTTATCACACTTAGAAATAAACAATAAGTGTAGGCGAAGGGAATGGGACAGACGAAGGAGATCAGTGACTAGCCCCGCTAGTATGATCCGACAAGACTGACGATTTAACTGGCTTTTATACTAAACACTTTAAGGGCTGACGCCCATACACAACATTTTCCGGAAAGGTTTCAGAATTTCATCCGAACAAGTCTTCTGGAAGGGTTTCAGCATTTATTCTAAACAAGTTTCCGGAACAGTTTCAGAATTAAATTAGAACATGTTTTCAGAAGCTTTCAGAATTTATTCCGAACATGTATTTCTGAAAATATTAGAATGTATTATAAAAAAGTTTTCCGGAAAAATTCAGAATTTATTCACAACATTTTTACCTTTTCAATTATTTCATAAAAACAGTCACCTTCTGTGGCTGGCCCAGATCGTCATTTACTCATTTGCCCTGTTGGTGCAGATCTGGCTAAAACAGAAATGGACCCAGAAGATGGATTATATGAAAGATTAAATTGGGATCATTGGCGTTCATTTATTTCAAAGGAAGGAAATGTTGGGGATTCTTTTACTGTCAGAAAAGTAAAAAAATTTTGACTGATTTTCTCCACAAATCTTTCCCTACATTCAGATAATTTATTTTGCGTCGATGGACCCAAAAATGAGAAAAGAATTGTGGCCTTTCCTTTTAAGAATATTCCCTTGGTCTTCAACTTATGAACATCGCGAGAGTATTCGTAACGATTTATTTCTTCGATACCAAAGAATGAAAAGAAATCGAATTAAAAAAATTTCAAAGGCAACAGAAGCAGGGGAAAAGTTTTATGCTAATGTTGAATCGAGCATCTTAAAAGTATAAAATTTATGTTTCAGAATTATTCCGAACATGCTTTTCGGAATAATTTCAGAATTAATTTCGAACATGTTACGAAAAGTTTCAGAATATATTACAAATGTTTTTTCGGAAACATATCAGAATTAATTTCAAACATGTTCCAAAAAGTTTCAGAATTTATTACAAACTTGTTCAGAATTCATAACATTTTTCTGAAAAAGTTTCAGAATTTGTTTAAAACATTTATTAAACTTTAAAATGAAATACCTATACTTAAATAAAATCAGAATTAGAATAAAACAAAAAATACAGAAAATACAAAATACGTTTTCATAAATTTGTTAGGATGTTCTTCGAACTGACAGGCGTAATTCCTTCTTTGCTGGAGATGGAAATGCTAATTTGGAAACAATGAAGTTTGTACATTTTCCGAAAAATATTTAATCTCTTACAGATCAATTTTGTTAACTTATGCTGTTCGTTTTCCCGAAATTAATTATATTCAAGGAATGAGTGATTTACTAGCTCCCTTACTTTTTACACTTCGAGATGAACCTTTAGCTTATTGGTGTTTTACTGAATTAATGAAACAAACACTTTTTTGTCAATCAGAGCAGCGAAAATCTGTTATGGAAATTCAACTTGATTATTTACGAGAGTTGATTCGACTTTTTGTGCCTGAGGTGTTTTCTTTGCCTAAATGGGGGAAAATTTAGTTTCAGAAATAAATGTTGAACAAGTTTTCGGAAGTGTTTCAGAATTAATTTAGTGTATGTTTCCGGAATGTTTTCAGAATTTCATCTGAACAAGTTTTTCCGGAAAGGTTTCAGAATTAATTCCGAACATGTTTTACGGAAAATTTTCAGCCGAATAAGTTTTCCGGAGAGTTTTCATAATTCCATCTGAACAAGTTTACCGGAAAGGTTTCAGAATTTCATCCGAACAAGTTCTGGAAAGATTTCAGAATTAATTCTAAACAAATTTTTCGTATGTTTCAGAATTAATTTCAAACATGCTTCCCTAAAAGTTCATTTATAACAGAAACACATTAAAAGACCTAGACATCAGGGGTGGGTTGAGTCTCGTATCTCGTGTCTCGTATCTCGTGAAATCTCGTGTTTTTTAGAGGTCTCGTATCTCGTGTCTCGTATCTCGTATTTTGCCACGAGACACGAGATATTTTCAATCTGTTATACAAAAAATGTCGAAGATTTAGCATTAATTTAAGATCCTAGAATTAGGAAAAATGAAGAAATCTTGCCCATTGGTCTTCCAAAATTCTCAAAATTTTCGCCTGCGGCGCTGAAATGGTGAATTTTTTTGGCCTACGACCTTCTAAAAGTCTCAAAATTTTGCCTGCGGCGCTGAAATAGAAAAATGGATGAAGTTGGTCAAGCGGGAAATATCGGTGGACCTGAAGAGATAGAAGAATATCGGGCGATTTACAGGGATTAAAATGAATTTAAAAAGATATATGGTGATTCGGAGGGATATCTGTGAATCCATCAATTTTGAGAGAAATTAGTGGATTGTGAGAAGCAAGTTGGATATCTAGTGACTAAGGGGATATAATGAAGATATTTAGTGATTAAGATTCTTAAAATTTTTGCCTGCGAGGCTAAGATAAGCCCTACTTATACAAAGCTTTCATCATGGAGTGCTCAGAAAAACTTCGGCCCCTTATCGGGTCTCCATATCACCCGGTATCCGATATCACTCAAATTAGTTGACAACCTCAATAATCCCATGGTATCTGTTCATTTAACTCTCCTCGATCCTTCCGAATCTCATGATATTCTCCGTAATCCCAGATATCTAATAAATCCCCTTGATCCTCTAAATCCTCAATATACTTCATAATCCACCTGTAATCATTATCCATTCAAACCCTTATATTTTCAAACCATTCAAACCCTTATACTTTTCAATTTTATGTATAATTTTGAAGAAAAAAAATACTTAATATCTCGTATCTCGTGGTCTCGTATCTCGTGAAATCTCGTATTTTTTGAGAGATCTCGTATCTCGTTTTATCTCGTTCTCGTATTTTTTTGAGAATCTCGTATCTCGTGAATCTCGTGTCTCGTATTTTGTGGGACTCGGCCCACCCCTGCTAGACATGTTTATATGACTATGTTTCTACAAATCTCAACTTCCTTTTATTTTTCAGTTCTACACACATTTAAAGTTTCTTGGAGGTGATGCTCCTTCCTTAATGTTCGTTCACCGCTGGATTTTACTTTTCTTTAAAAGAGAATTCCCCCAAGCTGAAGCTTTACATATCTGGGAGGTTCCCAATAACAAAACTTCCCCACAAAAAATTTATTTTAAAGGCTTGTTGGTCTCGTTATAGAAGTGCCCATTTCCATTTGTTTGTAGCTTGTGCAATTGTTTCAGTATTCGGTCCAGATGTAGTCTCTCAACGCTTGCCTAACGATGAAATTCTTTTATATTTTTCTTCCCTAGCAATGCACATGGATGCAAATTTAATTTTAAGAAAAGCTAGGGGGCTTCTTTATCAATTTCACAGAATGCAACGAATTCCTTGTACTCTGGCTGGTTTACAAATTTTGGAGGAGAACGAACCAAATCAGTGGAATTCACATGTGTCTGTTAAAAAAGAATATTTCTGTACTGGAACGCATGGAAGTGATGAAACTTGCCCTATGAAATCAGAAGAAGAAGAACAGTCTAGTCTATAATTCTGATTAAAACATTGTTTAAATTTAACAAAACATTCCTTGTAAAATGTTTTAATAGTGGTGTTTTAAATGTTTTAAGTGTTTATTTTATAAGAGAAAAATCAGAATTAAATTACAACAAAAACATACATATCTATGTTTTTAATAAATCAGAATTATATTAGAGGTTTCAAAATCAGAATGTTTTGCATTAAATCAGAATTTTTTGCTTCCTAAAACCAGAATTAAATTACAACAAACAAATAAACCAGAATTACCTTATACTGAACATATGTTTTTAAAACCAGAATTATGTTTAAACAAATGTGTTTTTTTAATCGAATGTTTATTAAATGTGATTTTAAAATCAGAATTTCATTGCAACAAATGTTTTTAAAATCAGAATTATTAAATATTAAAATATAATTGCTTCAAAACATGAATTGATATTTCATTCCCTCTCTTCCCAGATTTTTTTAAAATATTGATTTTCAAAATTTTAATTTTAAAGCTATTAAAATAGTTTAACGCTAGACATATAAAATCCATAATCCACAATTCATTTTTTAAAATATAGTTGAAAAGGAACTAAAAATTAATAAAATTTAAATTTCTGACAAGCCAACCTAGGCAAAATGGAGTAAAATCCGTAAGGGTTTATTAGCTAGTTTTCCTTTAAATATTTATTAAAAATAAATAAAAATGTTTTTATTTTTCAAAATAATTATTTATTTTCTTATTTCCTCAATAATTCTCTTCTATCCACTTTCTGCTCTTTTATCAAATTGTCTGAATGGTGTTTGTGATTGCGATCCGGATGTAATCGACTATTGGGAAGGTATTGATATTGCGTCTTTATTAACTACCTCAGCACCTTTAACAACAAAGAAAATAGTAAAAACGACAACAATAGAGCCTAAAACAACAATGAAACCAACAACAGAAAAGCTAAAAACTACAACAACAGAGAAGTTAGGAACTACAGAAAAATACAAAAACAGCACTGCTAAGGCTACAACAACCCCTGTTAAATTAACAACTACAAAATCTACAACAGAAAAAGCAAAAACAACGAAAAGTCCAATAACAACAGAAAGTACATCCAAAACAGTTATAGAGACCACTAAAAATGAAGAGACGACAGCGAAAAGTTTAACAACAAAAGTTTTGCCAACCTCAACTAAACCAACAGAAAACCCAACAACAAGCAAAATGATAGAGACTACTAAAAATGAAGAGACAACAACCGAAACAACTCAAAGTTCTACAGGGTTGACTGAAACTATTGGAGAAACTACTAATACTATAAAAGATATAACAACGGAGAGTATTTTAACTACTACAGAAGAAAAAGTTACTAGCACAATGAAAATGTTATTAGAGACCACAGAAAATGCGGAGGCAACGAAAGAAAATGTCGAAACCACTAGTATAAAAGCAGAAGAGTCGACAGAAACGTCAACAATTATAACAACAAATGTATTAGATGATACAACTGTCAATATTCAAACCAAGAACCAAGCTGGCGAGAGCACAACAGAAATGACGAGCTCTAGTATAAAAGCGGAAGAGTCGACAATATTAACACCAACAACGTTGGAAGGAAGTGAATCGTCTACTAACATATTAGTTACTTCAACAATCAACTTTCAGACAACCAACCTTGCGAAAGAAAGTACGACAAAATTGACAAGCTCTACTATAAAAGCAGAAGAGTCGACAGAAACTTTTAACACAACAATTCCTTCAACGTCTTCTCAAATAACTACAATAAATACGGAATCTACAGTCTTACTATCTACAGAAAATAATTTTCAAACTACTATAAAGGAAGATTTTACTACAAAAACTGTGGAAACTGAAGCAACAACAACGGAGCCGGTAACTTCCAGCACAACTCTTAGCACAAGTACAAGTGTCGATAGTTCAACTCCGCTCGGCTGTAAGTTTAAAAATTGTATCGGTTTAATTAGTCTAAAAGAAAATGAACAGTCTTAAAATTTCCATAAATTTTCATTACTGTAACTGAAATTTTTTGCTTATTTCTGTCATTTTCTAGCAGCGTGGGTATATAGAGACATTTTTTAAATATAATTTAAATCTAAAAACTACTAGATTGCGGGCAATGTTGCAATTGTGATCATAAATTGGGCAAATGTTTGGCGCAATCATAACTAATGAAGAATATATTTACAAATGAGAATGGATGTAATAAGAAACTGAATTCACATTGAAATTTTCTAAATAAACTTACTATATGAATGATTGATAAATAATTTATTTAATTATTTTGTAGTATAATTAAAGATAAAATAAAGATTTCTTTCAGTTACCCACATTTATATAAACTAATTCTATAGGGTGGTTGTAATAGGTAATTTGTAGCGGAGTACGCTAATGTAGTAATCTGAATGCAGGTTTACCAGGAAAATCAATATATCGATCTTCGGTCGATCTATGGAGGAAGTATGTACTTTATAAAATATAATTTTAATGTTGGTATAATAACAATAATCATTTATTTGTTTTTCACGCAGAATTTACAAAATCATATATATTTATTTTATTGTTTAAGAAGATAATCACATTTTCCGTATTTGTATCCATTCCATCCGGCATTGATTGCTGCATCCCAACCAGCATTCTCGGGGCTACGGAACCAGCTAGTAACAGACTGGAAAGCTGCTCGCGTTGACACATACTTTTTCAGACAGCCATCCCAGTGGGCTTTACAGTTTCGTTCAGCGTCGTCGGCAAATTTGCAGACGTACCAAAGCGCGTTTACGCTTAAATTATAAAAATTTAATTTGTTTTGGCTCGGCCAAGTATGGGCGGATCGAATTAAAGAATGATGATCGTCAATATGTTAAAGTATTTTCTCTTCAAATTTTTAGTTTTATAATTTTTAACATATTTAATGAGAATGTTTTTAACTAGAGGCCGGCAAAATCACGTTTGCGGGATCCCGCATACGGGATTTTTAAAATAATCTTTACGGGACGGGATTCCGCGTGATCCCGCACTCCCGCAAATCGGAAAAAGTTCGGGATTGCGGGACGGGATCCGCAAAATCCCGCACGGGATCCCGTCACATGCCAGTGTCTATTTTTAACAGTTACTTCCCGGTGGTATCTATAATTCCCAGTGGTATCTATAATCCAGAGCAAAATAAAAAAAATAAAATATTTTGAATTCATAAATTTATATTCTATTGGCATTCTGAATTTTAATTAAAATAATTTAGAAATTAAAGTTCAAGAATCAGAAACATAGGTAAATGTATTAATATTTTAGTTTGAAATGTTGAACATAAACTTACTTCCATTTGACTGCCTTTTTCCATTTCCAGGATTTGTCACAAACACATTGGGAGTTTCGGCAGTTTTCCCCAACGACGCCTGTTCCACACCAGCCCATGGTTCTACCAAAAAATAAAAAGTAAAGCACCCCCAAAGCAATCAAGAAATTGTAGGAACGATTCATCTATTAAACGAAGTTGTGATAAAAATGAAAAGCAAATGAATGAAAATGTTATAAGAGAAAATTTTGAGCGTCTTTGAAAGAAAAAGCATTTTAGCAACTAAAAACGAAAAGAAATGTGGCAGACCAGGAAGAAAATTTGTTAACAACAATCACAATGTAAAATAAACGTGGTTGTGATAAGCATTATTAATACTCATAAACACATAGTTGTTGTTTATTAGATGAAGGGAACGAAACTACCTTTATAAATGAAAAAAGATTTGTCACTTTATACTAGATTTGGAAAAGTCGATATCGATATATCGGTCTCGAATACCGGTCTTTTGCGAATATCGCTATCGATTCCATACGTACACTTCTAAAGATTGCCACTGTAAGCGTCAGTCTAATTGGATCATACTAGCCCGGCTAGTCCTTGATCTCCTCGTCTGTTCCAACTCTATTCCTTCGCCTACACATTGTTATTTCTCTATGATAAACTGTTGATCATTGCACGTCGACTTTCATACAACCCTCGGACATAACAAAAATGCATAGATTCATTTAGTTTTTTCCAATTTCTGAAGAAATTGGAATTAATTTTAAAAATTATTTATCTTTAATTTTTAATTAAATTGTCCAATATTTAAATTCATAGCCAATATTTGATGCTTTAAAGGGCAAGGGTAAATTAAAAGAAAAATAAATAATTTGTTAATTTTTTTCTTTTTATTTTGCCGCAAATCAAAACACACTTAAAAATTCTTATGAAATATATAAAGACGTCTTATGATTCTTTAAGAAAAATGCCGAGTGCAAAATTATTTGCACTCGGCTTAAAGGGCAAAAAATAAAATAAAACACAAACAAATAATTTGGTATATTTTTTTCTTTTATTTAGCCGAAAATACCAAAACACAATTTTGCATTTATTTAAAAATTCCCTTTATATGCGCGAATTACCGCCTTTCTGTAATTTTTATTTATTTGGGCGGGATTTTTATTTAATGTAAAAAGGACTATTTATTTGAGTGATAGGAAAGGGCATTTCTATAATTAGACATTCCATAAGAATTGCTAGACTGAGCCTACAGAGAGAGCTTTTTCTAAATTACGATTGTTTTCGCTTTTGGAAATTTTTCAAAAATTTGAATTTTGGCGACAAGAAATAGGATTTCTGACTGTTTGGGCGTCTGAAATTCTGAAAATTTTTAGATTGCGGCTCAAAAAAGTAAGAAATCCTCCATTTAAAATACACTCGATTTTAAATATATTCTTTCAAAACAAGGGTGTGTAGAATCACGACTTTATCTTTTAGAAAAATGAGAGTTCACGTAACTCTTTTCCTTTTGACAATATTATTGGAATTTGTCTTTGGAATGAGAATAGAAGGTCCATCGAGATCCTATTCTCATGATAATGTAACGGAACAAGGTGTGCAACGGGTAATGAATGTTCAAGGGAGAGGAGGCAGACCACCCATCGGTAGATTTTTACATATAAAGAACCAGTAGAAGGAGCATATTTGCTTCGTTATTTTTAGAGTTGGAGCCGAAACTCGGCTTTTTTGTCGACCCGAAATCCGTAACCCGATTCGAAGAAAATTTTTGAAACCCGATCCGAAATCCGACCCGACTTTTTTCTCAACCTGATCATTGCTCAAAATAAACTTTTTTTTTGTCAGAAAAACTTTTTGAACAAGTCGCTAAAAGCCTGCAAATTGAGAAAGATGAGGTTGATAAAGGAAATGAATTATATATAAAAATAGTGGATGAAGAAGGGATTATTCAACATTTCTTAAATTTAAATAATGAATTGGAAAATAGTCACAGTGAAGAATTTGTCACTCTTTTGTTTAAGGAGCTTATTAAAGCAAGAAAAGTTTACAGAGAGGCTTTAATTAAACAAAAATTAGAAAAAGGCAAGAAGAAAAAGTTGTTTAAAAAAATAATTAATTCATTGACGAAAAATAAATCATTGGAAATAATAAGTAAATAATGTTTAAAATAATTAAATTTATAGTAAATACCGAAAGTGAACTATTTACTACGTAGTCCCTAATAGAATCAACAATAATGAGAGTCGATTAAGAAGCTTATTCAGGCTTCTATCTCTCAATGGTTCCGTGACGTTTGCACCGCATGCCTTAAAAATATAAATATGTTTAACGCAATGCTGGGGTACATCCCAAGGTACCGCAAGGCCAAGGTACCGCCAGCTATAACTTTGTTTAATATTGTCGAATTCAGGACGCCCTGGTATGGTTCGATTCAGTTCATCGAGATACATCGGAGCATACCAATGCTGAGTGCCACTATTTTCGTGTCTAATTTCATATTCTTCTGGTATTTTCATAAAAACGAGAATTTCTAATCCTTGGCCATAAAAAATAAATGAATTTTTGAATTAGAAATGATCACACTCTCAAATTTCTTACAGTACTTCGCCGCAGGCGGAAATTTTGAGAATTATTGAAGACCAAAACGCCAGAAATCTTTCGTTTTCTGAGTAAGCAAATACCGATAAACCTACTTCTTTTTACTAGAAAGGGGGAATTTAATTGCGTTTTCAATCCCTTTATTTAAATTATAAAATAAATTTAATAATAAAGAAATTTTACTTAAAGTTGAAGACATTGTAACATATCTTAATTCTGAATTATATGCAAATGAAAAGGAACTTTTTTATAATATACAAATTCTTGTATCTTATAAAAAAGGCGATTGCATTATAAGGGGCTATGAAAATAATGATAAGGAATTGGCCAAGTCAATTGCAATTGTTGAGAATGATTCAAAACTCGCATTTGAGGAATTATATAGAATGCATGCATTAACTATGGCAACTAATTCTTTATGCAAATATAAGGAATTAAATGTATGTTATTTTATCAAGATAATTGTGGTAAAAATTGTGTTTGAGAGCCCAGATTTCAATATATTGTCATTTGTAAGAGCTTGTAGGGCTAAGTCGATTGGTATCAAAATCAGCTTGATCCGACGATGAGTGGGATATTATATATGTACCCGTCCAGCTGAATAGTTTTGTGCTGCTATAGGTGATATGGCGGCATTTCAGACTGAAAATGGGAAAAGGATAGGCTTATGTTACGGCGTACAGACTCATTAGAATAACTCTATGTTTAATCTTGTTAAAACTTTTTAATAACCATTCAACATTGAACGTCGAGTATTTAAATAAGCTATCATTTCATATATGAATTTTAGACTAAAATAAGTTTTTCTTCTCTATAGTTTTTCTAGCTTTTGGAGCTCTACCGCCGCGGGCTAATTTTTTAATTTTTTTATAAAGCATATATCGGTCATATATTGGCCATGATGGAGTCATGTTAATCAAATACAATTTTGCCAATTTTTAAAATAAAGCTTGCTTTTTATATGTTTTTAAATTTAAAATATCACCAGGCCGTTAAACACGCAGCCCTTCTAAAGAAATTTTTGGTTAGCATAGGAACTTGGGAGAATCCAGGAAACAGCAACGGAGCTTTTGAAAGTGCAGTATACACAAAAATCAGTTTACCCGTGGATGATGATTATTTTAAATTGGATTCTTCGATTAGCGTAGATATTGAGCATTTTTACGTTGAATACGATGACATTGGTGTTGAACACAAACATGTTAATAAAATTGATGAATTTCACGCTTTTAACAATGCAAGTTTTTTGTCTTATTAGTTTATGAGGTCGATGAAAGGCCATGAGTATAAGCAACAGCCAAATGATTAGTTCAAAAGGTTCATACATGTCAGCTTGCTCTTTTTTGTTAAGCACAGGACAGAATCCCACCGGGATACGCTGCAATTCTTGTTTTCCGTTATAAAATCAGGGGTTTTTAATTTTACGAAAATGACTGGACCCGGAATATTCTGGAATGAACCCGTGTTATACCGTTTGTTATAACTTAGCGACCTCCTCAACAAAACTTTAAAAATTTTTTATTTAGTTTAATGATGAGTATTTGAATTTGCATGGTGTGCTATTTGATAATATTACTCGTATGTGCAAGTTTACTATGCCTACACCTGTTCAAGTAATTTTATTAGTATTTGCCTAAATTACAATATTTATTTAGGCATATGCAATTCGAATATTGACATTTTCAGAAAAGATTGATTTAATTGCTGTAGCTGAGACTGGCTCTGGAAAGTCAGGAAATTTTTTAATTTAAGCAGTCCTAACTAAAAATGTTAGTTACTAAAAAATGTTTTTATAGAACGGCTGCATTTCTAATTCCTTTGATATACAGATTATTGGAAGCTAGAAAAAAAGGAGAAATCAAAAATAAAGTATGCTAAACCTTCTAACCAAATTTAAAATTTAATAATTTTCAGAATCAAAAGGTGACTTATTTTCCAATAGCGTTGATACTTTTGCCAACACAAGAACTCGCACAACAAACATACTTGGAAGTTTTGAAATTAGCATACCGTACACCTCTTGTGCCAGCCCTTATTCATGGGGGACAAGACAATTATGCTCCACAAGTTGATACTTTTACGGTTAGCGTTCGTTTAGCTATGGGTCAGGGCAATTTCTGCGAACCCACTGTTTATCTATTTTTGTATATTTTTTCTTTGGCGAATTTAATTTTATAAGCAAATAAAAAAATTTTTAAATCTAAAAATTGTCCATTGTTCCTTAACTGAATTTTCAACTAACCAACCTACTGAAGTATGTTTGGGTTTAGTTCAAAATAGATCCCAGTTCACTTTTCTGAGGAAAGTATAAAATAAAGTATAAATTGAGGTGCATATGATAACTAGGGTTTATTATATAGTGCTGTACATGTGAATAACAATATGGGGATAAATGCAATGGTCGGGATTTATTTAGTATGTCAAAAGAAGTTGGTAAACACATATATGTATGAGTTGGGAAAACACTTAAAGATAAAAATGTTTTTGTCGGGAGTGCCAATCGAGAATGAATAAGCAAATATATATTGGGAAAGTATTTAAATTATTGATAAGAGTGTTTTGTCGGGAATGCTTATAAAGCATGCTCTGTAATTCTAAATAGGTAATTATCTAAGTTTACAATTTAAGCTGGGATGTGACATTCTTGTTGCTACCCCTTTGCGACTTATAGAAATGACGAAAAATTCTGATATCGACTTGAGTCAATGTACTTTTCTTGTAATGGATGAGTCTGATAGATTACTTGGTTAGTGAAGAAATTCTCATTTTTTTAATAAAATGAATTAAAGATAGTGACTTTGCCAAACAAACAGGCACAATAATTCAACAACTTCCGGCAAAAGAAGAAAGAACAACTGGTAGAGTATTTTTAAACTCTTGAGTATATAAAATAAATTTTTAGTAATGTTTTCCGCAACGTACAATAAAAAAGTGGATGGATTGGTCGAAAAATTCCTTAATAATAATCATGTATGTATTTAAATACCGTATTTACTCGATTAATTCCCATCCATTGAATAATTCCTCCTGCTACGGATGAGTTGAACAATAATCCCCCTCCCCAAATACCCTACTACACATTCAAATTTCAAAACTCGAATAATTCCCCTTTATTGAATAATTCCCCATTCCATGGATGGGTTGAAAAAATAATTGCTTACGGTATTAAATATATTTTTTTATTTATAAAGTTTAAACTGACAATCACAAGAGCGTTACCAGCAAAGCTCTCGCAAGAGTTTTATTGGGTTGAAGAGAATGATAAATATGGAAAACTTTTAAAAGTTCTCGGTCAAATCAACTTAAAAAAGTCGAAAATTATTATTTTTGCAAACAATAAAAGCACTTGTAATAATGTAAATTGTTTAAATTTAATTAAAAAATTTTGCCTTTATTAATGGCAAAGGAGGGAATCTGTCGAATTAACAACCCAAATTATTTGAACGAGTATGAATGAGATTACTCGATCCAATAAATTACTCGATCAATCGTCAGATCTTTAATAAACAACTTTATTTCCTAAAAATCTACCGGGTTTATTGTAAGGAAGAGAAAGAGGCGGGGGTTTAAGATCCATTATAAGAGAAAGTGAAAGCGTCCCGGTAGCACAGTGGTAAAGCACCTGTACGTGGTGAGCGAAAGAGCCTAGCAATAACTGCCAGGAGGTACCTGCCCGGGATTAAACTTTTACCTTGCTCTTACTTTGTGTAATTAGTCGTCAAAAGTCTAAAAGTATCTCACAAGGGAACATTTCGAACTGTGAGTAAAAAGTTCGCAATAAAAGTTATACCATCGTGTAGAGCATCGACGAAAACCTTTATGGTTTCCGGCTTTTTCGGCTCCGACCCCCATTTCGAAAAGTTATAGGGCTTCAAAGTTTTCAATTTTTGGAGCGGTTGAGTCGCCCTCATAAAGAGAGAGTTTTCTTTTATTAGGAGAGAAATAAGACTCCCATCCTCCTTTTTTCCTTTCCTTTTCTTTTCCAATATTAGTTAAAGAAAGAGAAAAGGAGGAGAGAAAAGAAAAGGAAAAGAGGCATCTCTGCCTTGCAGCTAATGTCAATTAAAAATGAAAGAGGAGATGGCAGACATGCCTCTTTTCCTTTTCTTTCCTCTCCTCTTTTTCTCTTTCTTTAACCGACATGGGAAAAGAAGAAGAAAGGAAAGATGGAGAAAAGGAGTCTCATTTTTCTCTTTGGTAAGA